CTGGACTTGAAGACTGACTATGTGTGGGATCAACTCGTTGTCACCCTGAGACTTGCATCCAAGTCCTGGCGCCCCTCCTCCACCAAGGAATCCTCCAGCCCCCAAAAGCTTGAATGCCCCTAAGATAGGGCTTAAATTACCAGTTGTTGGTGGGTTCCTCATTATAACTTTAGTATCATGGGCCCCAAAACTCTATTCTAAGTATTAAGGCCCCTATATTAGACCCTGGAAGACAAGGGGTCCGACATGTGAGTTTGAGCGACAGATCCGTCGAGATTCGTTCGAGCACCTCGTCTCGCTCCCCGTTCACGAGACTGGATTTAGACAGCTCGTTCCGGAACCTAAAGCCTTTAAAGGCCCGAAAGCTACAAAGGCCTAACTCAAGACCTAGCAGACCAAGCAACTCAACCTGCGAATACCCTTGAAGCACAAACGTCGTAGCTGAGGAGTCTTCTGACGCCTCTGTATTTCGGATGCTCACCGAGTGGCAGAAGCGGGCGGATGAGCAGGCACGGGTGCAGCAAAGGGTCGGGAGAACAGCGAAGCCCAAACGCCGATACTCTGCCTAGACGGTCCAAAGCCCTTTAAAGAGGGAATATCTGTACCTTCAGGCACATGCGAGGGATCCTTGTCATGGATTTAGGAGCGTCTGGATACTCTACACCCGGTTCAGCAGGGTTATCTTTTTTAACTATAGCTGCCGGTAGAGTTAGTGGCGTTATCCCCTGATAGCATCCATTTGGGGTTAGAGATAAAAGATGCTACGCCCCAAACTCTTGTTCTGCGAACGATAAAGCCCCGGGCACGTGCACCAGCCCGGGGTTTCAGGTTTGGGAGACCCTTCATGTCATATTTAAACCCCTAAACCCCTCGATCCCTAAACCCCTAAACCCTATACCCCTAAACCTCTAAACCCCTAAACCCCTAAACCCCTCAACCCCTCAAGCCCTAAACCGACCCCAAGAGCCAGAGACTCGGGCAGGGTACCTACCGCATCAGCCGTCGGAGATCGGCGGAGAAGTTGACCACCAGGCCTTATCAGAGTCCTGGCTGCAACCGTGGGGGCTTTCGAAAAGGGGAGAACCCGGGCTTAGGGGTTTAGTGGTTTGGGAGGGAGGAGTAACTCGGTGTTTGAGTCATCGTCTTCCCTGACAGTCCTTAGAGCCAAAATCCAGCAGACCCAAAAGCCTTCGGGCTGTTGGGGCTTAGGGTTCTATCTAGAACATAGGCGTCTGAGTCATTCGCAATGTCCCTACACATGTACACCAGAAGGTGGGCCCAAGACAATTTTCCAACCATGCAGGTCTGACTAAACCAAAACCTCAGCACGAAGTCCCGACTCCCGGCAGCCCTGCAGCCCTCACTCGCCGAAGCCTAGATCCTGAGCTCTGCACCTCAAAGCCCTGAGCCTTAAACTCCAAACCCTGAAACCTTGTTCTAAAACCCAAACTCGAAGCCCAAAGCCCCAGTTCCACCGTTTATAAACCACATTAGTCCTTCTGAAGCTTGTCTAAGTTCCTCTAAATGACTCTAAATCCTCGAGACTCTAGAATCCTGAGTCAGGGGATATGGAACCTTAAACCCTAAAACTACCGGCCCAAAGCAAACCCTGAACCCTTAAGCCTAAAGCCTTGAAGCCTTTAGGTGCCCTTAACCCTAAACCTTAAACCCCTGAACCCCTAAACACCCAAACCCCCACACCCCTAAACACCCTTAAACCCCTAAACACCCAAACCCCCACACCCCTAAACACCCTTAGACCCCTAAACCGCGAGTCCCCCTTTAGGCCTTATAAGCTTCCTCAAAGCCTTCTTGAAGCTCCCCTTTAAGGGCCCCCCTTGGAGCCCCCTTTGGAGCCTCGTGAAAGCCTCCCTCAGGTCCGGGAAGCTAAACACCCAAACCCCTAAACCACTGAACACCCAAATCCCTACACCCCTAAACCCCTAAACCTCTACACCCCTAAAGCCCTAAACCCCTACACCCCTAAACCCCTAAACCCCTAAACACCTACACCCCGAGTCCCCCCAGGTCCGGGAAGCTGAATTTCAAGTGGGGCCGAAAGCTTCGAGGGGCGGCTCGGACAAAGGGGCCCGGAGAGTCCGGGGTTTTAGGGGGGTTTTAGTTTTTTTTTTTTTTTTTTAAGGGTTTTAGGTGGTTCTTAGGGTTTTTAGGGGGTTTGGGGGTGTTTAGGGTTTTAGGGTTTGGGGTTTTAGGGGGTTTTGGGGGGTTTTGGGAGTTTTAGGGTGTAGGGGTGTTTAGGGTTTGGGGGTTTCGGGTTCAGGGTGCAGGGTGTTTAGCCTCTGCATAGGGTTTGGAAGGGGTGTACGTGTAGAAGAGGGCCTTTTAGAAAGTGTTTTGTTTCACTGGGTCTTGATCCTGGTGTCGTATGTCTACGTGATTTGAAGGCGAGCGGCCGGAATAGGATCCCTTCTATGATTTCCCGGGAAGAAGTTCAGTTCTGTGGACCGGCTTTCTGTCAAAATCGTGGGTTGCTCTCACGTTTTGGGGGTTTGGGATTCGGAGCTCAGGCTTTGAGTCAGAGCCTTGCGCTTAAAGGATCATGGGACTTAGTAACTGGGGTTATAAATTAGGTACCTAATAAGCCCACTTAATTAAGGTACTTATAACTTGACTTTCTAAGTCCCATGATCCTCCAAGCAACAGAGCTTCCGGTAAGTCTCGGTTCCATATTAAGAACCAGACCGTAAAGGACCCCTTTTAGATCCCTTTATAGTATCCCTTATAGGATCCCTGTAAAGGAACCCAAAGGCCAATCCCCCCCCCTTTCCCTACAAAGCACCAGACAGTCCCGTCGCAGGAACCTTACGGTCACTTCCGCAACACGCTGCACCTAGGCCCTAATCCTTCAGTCAAAGGGGAAAAGGAGGGACCCTTAATGGGGACCCCTACCCTACAATGGGCTATATGATGGGTATATGATAGCTCTATTAAGGGTATATACCTAGGGGTCCTTGTTAAGGGTCCCTCCTTTTACCCTTACTCAGAGCTGGAGGTAATTTGCATTCCGAAAACCCTAAACCCAGACCCCCGTGAGGATCCACAAAGTAGATCCCGCAATGGGGGTTCCTTTCAAGCACCCTTAGTAGTACAGGGCCCCAAATTCGGGGATCTACTTTCTAGATCCTCCCGGGGGTCTGGGAAACCGAAAATCTTATTCCGAAAACCCTAAAGCACCAAACCCTGAAGCCTAAAGCTGGCTTGCGGAGAAAGAGTCACTGCACTTGAAAAAAAAAGCCCTGAATGCGAAAGCTCTGCCAGCAGCAGGAGCGCTGGAGGCAGATCTGGGCCTTTCTCTCCGCCCTGGTCATCTTCCAGGTCCCCAAGCCCTGAACTTCCGAAACCCCAAGCCCTGAACTTCCTAAGCCCTAAACTCCCTAATCTCCCTAACCCCTAAACTTATAGGTCATTTTCCGGTGTCTTTGCGAAATGTGCAGCTTCTGCTCATCAATGGACCCATCGATCAGTCAATCGATCAATATTTACATGTGTGTGTATGTATATATATATATATATATATACACACATGTATATGTATAGATAGAGTCAGAAAGAGAGTAATCATGAAACCCTATGGAAACTCCTATTATCCAATACCGAACCTGTATGGCAGCCCTGATAGAAGCCCTTATGGTAGGGCCCTGTGGTAACCCTTTCACAGACCGTCATGGGATATCACGTACAGAAAGCTCAACCCTAAACCGTGAACCCTTATGGGATGTCCCTTTTCGAATGCTATACCCAAAACCCTGACCCCTTGTGGCGTATCTCTTATAGAGACCCTTGTGGACACCCCTATGGCATCCCTTTGTTGAAACCCTTATGGGATATCCCTGTCATACGGTTGATGATATAAATCCTGCATTACCCATAAAAAGGAATATACCATTATTCCCATGGTTTAGGGTCCTTAAGGTAATGCAGGATTTATATCATCAACAGTATCCCTGTCATAGGAAGCTTTAGCAGGACTGCTTCTCCATTCCGGTCCTGGCCTTCGGCCGGAGCCCGACGCCGGAGGGCCCAGAGCTCCCAGGGGTTCGGTTCCTGTACGGCCTCCCTTAACGGCTCCCTTTGGTTAAGGGTTCCTTTTAAGGGCTCCTTCAAGGGCTTTTGGATGTGTCCTTTTAAGAGTTCCTTCGCTGTACTGAAGGGTTCCCTCAGGTTCAGGGTTCCTTTAAGGGCTCCTTCAAAGGCTTCTTTTAAATGTGTCCTTTTAGGGGTTCCTTCGCCTTGGACCGAGGCCAAAGGCCCGCTTAGGGTTTTCGCGTTTCGCATGAGGGGCTTTGCAAGCTGGGGATGAGGGGCCCGCCGTGTTGGGAAGCTTGAGCCCCTGTGAGCTCCGATCCTCGGCTCTTCCCAGAGACTCAATATCCCTTAATTAAGGAATATACCTTACATAACATAAGGGATCCTACCATAATTTAAAGACTATTCCTTAATCAAGGGATATTGGAGTCTCTGGGTTCAAAAACCCACTGCCCTGAATTGTGCCAAACCCTAAAACCGAAACCTTGGCGGCAGCGGCTACGCGCTTTGCACGACGATTTTCCTTTTATCACAATAGCATGGGTGGCGCACGGCGGTCGTAAAAAAACCCTAAACCCTAAACCGCGCGACTTGCACTCTCAGGTGGTTCCTTGACATCTTGGAAGCGGTCTTCTGGACAGCTAAAGCTTTTGGGGGGGTCCTTGCTCCCAAGTTCGTCTTTTTAGGGCGAGTAAAGGACTCGCATGAGGATCTGAAGTAGTAGGATCATTACTCGAAGGATCCGTGACAAGGAGTCTTGAGCCTGGGAGCTGGGCTTGAAGCAGACACATCTGCTTCGAAACGCCAGATGCTTCCAGGATCTCCAGCTCTAAACCGATAAATTCCACCAAGAGCAAACATAGGCACAGCCTCGTTAGCCATAGAAACTTGTCGATTCGTTTCCTTTCGGCTTCCTTCACCTCCAAGCATGGAGGACCATCAACATTCCGGTGATGGCCTCGATCTTGGTGATGCGAGACGGCTGGATGCTTCGGGAGGTGGGCCTGGTGTGCCTCCTGGCTTTTCGCCTGCAGACGGAGAGGCCGAGGGCTTCTTTCTGGCGGCGTGCACTTGTCCCGGTCCGGCATGATATGAATGACAAAAGAACAGAAGCTTAGAAGTCTTCAAAGGACGAGCCCCATCCCAAGCCCCGAGAGCTCCGTGTGAGCATGCATGCATGTATATCCGTCTGTCTGCCTGCCTGCCTGTCTGTCTGTCTGTCTGCATGTCTTTACGCGTGTACACTGTTTTTATCCCCAAGAGTTGAGCCAAGGAAGGGTTGTTGGTGACCATGCTCTATGTCGAGCCTCGGCAAAGCGATTCAACAGAAGGGCCTTTGCTCGGTCTATCTGCAGCCCATGCGGCCGACATGCTAAACGGAAGTACACAAGGAACTCATCATGACGAGCCCTGGACGTGCAGGTTCTTTGGAAATGTTCCCAGGTCCCTGGTTTTGAGTAGCATCCTTCGAAGCTGTGGGGGGCTCCAAGCCTCCACTCGGTTAAAGAGTCGTTGAAGACGAGCTAAGTTGCCGCGGTTGCGGAGCCTAAGCCAGATGTCGCAGAAAGGCTTGGCAAGTCCCGCCGAGAGTTGTCTGCCATGGTCCAAGAGTCCTCGAACCTCGGAATCGACAGAGTGTGACGAGCTAGTTGTGCTCCATGATCTCCCTTGAAGCTTTCCAAGGGCTCTAGATGCCCGAAACCAAAACCACCCATCCGGGATCAAAAGCACGTCTTTGAAACTCCAGCTCCCCAGCAAGCGAGGAGCTGCTCACTTGGGTGCACTCCGTGGATGCCGCGGTGGCGTTGCTGCGAGGCCGCTTTCGACCCCGATTAGAAACCTTAAAGCGTCCTCACGCTTCTGCGCCACTTCCCTTTGCAGCATCGCCTCAAGCACCTGGCTTAGAGCCAAACCCTCAGCGCTAACTTGCCCGACTTCTGAGTGGTAAAGCTTGAATACCCGTGCAAACTATACATTCTATGGATTCTATGGTGGAAACCAAGCAAAACCGTCGTTTAACTGTTTCAGGCCTCCGTCTTCTTACACCCTCCAAACCTCAAACCCTAAAGCTTGAAATCTCCTGGAACGCTCCAAAGCCTTCAAATGCGGAAAAGCCTAACAAGCCCAAAACCCTAAATCCTCAAAGCCTGGAAGCCCGCAAGTTTTCTGTTTTTTCTTCCAGTCTTATCATTGCTGTTACAGACCATTGCTATCGTTATCATAGCCGCGACTGCTGCTCCTGCTGCCACCGTTACTATTATCTTTCAAATCCTCTCATTATTGTTATTATTCCCACTATTTCTTTGCGTCCCTAAACCCTTAGCTTACCCTAAGACCGAAGCCCTTAAGCCCCAAACAGCCGCGTCTGTGTCAGGTCTGCAGCTGGGTCGGGTCCTCCATCTGCCCCGTCTCTACAAGTGGGCCGGCCTCGCGAGGTGGGGCGTGGAAGTTTCAAGGGCTTACGAGTTTAAGAGGTTGGAGGTTCTTTAAGTTACGAGTTAAAGAGATTGGAGGTTCTTTAAGTTACGAGTTTAAGAGGTTGGAGGTTCTTTAAGTTACGAGTTTAAGAGGTTGGAGGTTCTTTAAGTTACGAGTTAAAGAGATTGGAGGTTCTTTAAGTTACGAGTTAAAGAGATTGGAGGTTCTTTAAGTTACGAGTTTAAGAGATTGGAGGTTCTTTAAGTTACGAGTTAAAGAGATTGGAGGTTCTTTAAGTTACGAGTTTAAGAGATTGGAGGTTCTTTAAGTTACGAGTTTAAGAGGTTGGAGGTTCTTTAAGTTACGAGTTAAAGAGATTGGAGGTTCTTTAAGTTACGAGTTAAAGAGATTGGAGGTTCTTTAAGTTACGAGTTTAAGAGATTGGAGGTTCTTTAAGTTACGAGTTAAGAGATTGGAGGTTCTTTAAGTTACGAGTTAAAGAGATTGGAGGTTCTTTAAGTTACGAGTTTAAGAGATTGGAGGTTCTTTAAGTTACGAGTTTAAGAGGTTGGAGGTTCTTTAAGTTACGAGTTAAAGAGATTGGAGGTTCTTTAAGTTACGAGTTAAAGAGATTGGAGGTTCTTTAAGTTACGAGTTTAAGAGGTTGGAGGTTCGAGTTACGAGTTAAAGAGATTGGAGGTTCTTTAAGTTACGAGTTAAAGAGATTGGAGGTTCTTTAAGTTACGAGTTTAAGAGATTGGAGGTTCTTTAAGTTACGAGTTTAAGAGGTTGGAGGTTCTTTAAGTTACGAGTTAAAGAGATTGGAGGTTCTTTAAGTTACGAGTTAAAGAGATTGGAGGTTCTTTAAGTTACGAGTTTAAGAGATTGGAGGTTCTTTAAGTTACGAGTTTAAGAGGTTGGAGGTTCTTTAAGTTTAAGAGTTAAGTTAGAAGGTTCTTTAAGTTACGAGTTAAGAGAGATTGGAGGTTCTTTAAGTTACGAGTTTAAGAGGTTGGAGGTTCTTTAAGTTACGAGTTAAAGAGATTGGAGGTTCTTTAAGTTACGAGTTAAAGGAGGTTCTTTAAGTTACTTTAGTTGGAAGTTACGAGTTTAAGAGGTTGGAGGTTCTTTAAGTTACGAGTTAAAGAGATTGGAGGTTCTTTAAGTTACGAGTTAAAGAGATTGGAGGTTCTTTAAGTTACGAGTTAAAGAGATTGAAGGTTCTTTAAGTTACGAGTTAAAGAGATTGGAGGTTCTTTAAGTTACGAGTTTAAGAGATTGGAGGTTCTTTAAGTTACGAGTTTAAGAGGTTGGAGGTTCTTTAAGTTACGAGTTAAAGAGATTGGAGGTTCTTTAAGTTACGAGTTAAAGAGATTGGAGGTTCTTTAAGTTACGAGTTTAAGAGATTGGAGGTTCTTTAAGTTACGAGTTAAAGAGATTGGAGGTTCTTTAAGTTACGAGTTAAAGAGATTGGAGGTTCTTTAAGTTACGAGTTTAAGAGGTTGGAGGTTCTTTAAGTTGTTTTTTGTGGGAGGTTTTGGCGTTTGGGGTTTCAGGGTTTGGGGTGCTCGCTTCTTTGTCTTCCCGGGAAGGAGGAACTGTAGCGGCCTGAGTCGTCAGAATAGGGTTTCATAGGGCTTGCGAGCTGTTTCTGCAAGTTTTTTCCAGGGTTTGGTGACCGGTGCCGTGGCAACTCGAATAGGTTTTGGGCCATTGGGTTAGGTTCGAGCATAGGTATTTTGGGATTAAGTATAAGGGTTTTCAATCGATCTGGGGTTTACATGTTATGGGTCTTCTTGAAAAATCGAAGCCCTAAACCGTGATGCAAACCCTGTGCCCAAAACAAGAAAACCGTAAGCCGTAAACTCTAAGCCCTAAGCCCTAAACTCTAAACCTCAAAACTCCTCAACCCTGAGCCCTAATCTCCAAACCCGAAACCCCTGAACCCTTTATGGGCACCCTCAAAGGAGCCCTTAAAGGAAGCTCGAACGGAACCGGCTTGCAACTCCTGGCCCAAGCTGCGGAGGCCGGTGTCGAACTGGATGCATCGAAGCAGCCGAGAGGTGCGTGCGCTGGTGAACATGCTGCTTTCGATGGTCCTGACGCTGGGACTTCAGGGAGGTCCTTGTTGGGCTTAGGGTTTAGGGCAGTTTGGGGAGGGCTCTTGTGATGATTTCGGGGATTCTGTCGGGAACTTGCTTGCTTAGTGCGCAAGCCCCTTTTTGCAAAACCCCATACCCGACACCAGTGAACCGTAAGCTCTGAAGCTTACACCTCAAGCGACTAAAACCGCTAACTTCAAGCAATCGCTGAAGCTGCATAACTGCATTAGCTGAACTCCTAAAACCAAGAACCTGGCTTCCTGGATTTGAAGTTTCCGAGCTTCTGAGGGGTCTCTTCTTCTTGCACGTGCTTACGTGCCTGTGGTTCTTCGTGCGCAGCTTGGCGAATTGAATTCTTCAGTGAGTTGAGAGTTTATGCCGCCTTTCACGATTCGCCTGCGGCTGCCATTTAGCCACGCCGACCGACACATGCTGCCTCCCTCACGCAGGCAGTGACAGGGAGAGCCTGGAGGGCCTCTCAGTGCAGGCGGGGGCTCTCGCAGGTGCCAAAAGCCCTGCAGCGAATATCTGCAGCTCCACATGCGAGCGCAGGAGCAGTACCGGATCACCTTGGAAACGGCCATGGGCCGCCTTCACCCGGCCGCTCGCTCTTTGTTGGTGAGCAAGTGCAGGGAGTTTGGTAGCCGAGGGTTCAGCGTGGCTCGGCTTTTTACGGTCCTACGAGTGTTTCTGCCTTTGAAGGTGCGGACTGCCGAGAACATGCTGCTCCCCACGCAGGTCGAAAGGCACCGGTGACTTCGGGGGAGGTTATGAGGGCGTCCAGAGATTGTAACAATGACTCAAGGCATGTCACGCCGAAGCTTTCACATCTGGCTTCAGAGCCATCGTTTCAGAAGCAGCGATGGCAACACCTGAAGCCACTACGACTTCAAAGCACAGGTTGAGATGCTGCATGCAAAGCACATTGCAACAAGAGGAACCCCTCCACAACGCCCAGAATGACACAACCTGACTCCCTCTGCAGGGTGGTCGCGCTCTTGGCCTCTGGATCAGCGTACCTTGGTGGAAGGATATTCGGAATGTTTGCCAAGAGAGAGCTCAGGAATCGAAATATGTCGGAGCCTTGCTGCAGAGTTTCTTTCAAGGCCTCGAGTTCTCTCTTGGCCTGCATGAACTATGGCTCTACATCTCTGCCCATGAGTGCCCAGGGTTCTTTCTTGGAAGTATACCGCATTAAGATCCCCGAAACGACATCGCCTTCGGTCCCATCGGCCTAGTACGGCCCGCGTGCTCTTCCTGGGATCGGAGAATACAATACAGGATTTTTTGGGATTGTCGGAAAACATATGTAGGGCCTTAGACAGGGGTAGACCCTTAAACACTACATATGCTTGCCACAAGGACACCAACATAAGGTACCCCACACTTCTAACCCAAACCCTCGCTTCTGAAACTGGCGCTTGAAGGCTGCTTTTCGGCTCCATGTTCGCCTCCCTCGTCACCAACGACTTGGCGGACTGCCTTGCGCTGTGAGCTTGTGAGCTGTCCACAGGCCTACTACTCTTCAGCACTTGCTGCACGCTTGCGGCAGTATCATAGAGGGTTCAGGGTTTGGGGATCATGACGCAGCACTATCATAGAGGGAGGATGGTGGTGCGGGACTCGTGAGACGGTGCAGGACGTCCGGCGCGTGCGGCGCATGCAGAAGGAGACGGTGGCATGACTGCTCTGGTCCTTCATAGGGACCCTTAGGGGGGGGTAGGGGGGAAGGGGGGAGGGGACTGTACTTCCATAAATAGGTTTTGGTCCTGCAAGCCTCAAGCTTTCAGCTCCTCGTATTCCTCTTCGAAACGCTACTTCAAGGCCTCTGAGTCCTCAGCCTTTCGGTCAGGTTACACCATGATAAGTGAGACGCCCTACTCGGTTCGGGGTATTCCACGGCCACCAGGTCTCCGACCTAAACCCTTAACCCCTAAACCCTAAACCCTAAGCCCTAAACCCTAAACCCCTAAACCTTAAACCCTAAGCCCCAAACCCTAAGCCCTAAACCGCCCTAAACCCTAAACCCCAAACCCGAAGCCCTAAGCCCCTAAACCCGAGGTCCACCAGGTCTCCGACTATTTGAGCATCTTCCCCATCCCCTGGGATCTGGAGAAGCAATGCAAGGAGCCCTTCTTCTTCGCGGTGGGGAGGGGGGGGGGACGGGAGTTTTTGAGCTTTGCTGTTTAGGGGATGCAGAGTTTTGCTATAGTTTTGTATCGAGTTGTTGTATCGAGTTGTAGCATAGCAAGCCCTGCACAATCATCGGCAGAAGCCGATAGACTCCAGGCAGAAAAGCCAGAATCTGGTATGGTTTGGGACCCAGAGACTCCCCAAGGATCCCTAAGGAATATACCTTAAATCATATAAGGGATCCTACCATAATTTAAGGATTCCTTAATTAAGGGATATTGGAGTCTCTGGGGAGCTCTAGGCCTTGATCCTTGTTTCGTCGGAGAGCTTCCAGGACTTTCTCCGGAGCAAGATGGCCAGCCAGGCTCCTCCATGCAAGGTGCCAGAGCCACCAAGTCTAGGGTTTCGGTCTGACGGCACGGAGCGAGCTGAACCTTGAATGCGGTCTCAGGAGCATGGAGTAAGCATTGCCCCCCCCCCCCCCCCCCAAGCGCACTGGTCCCGAAGGCGGAGATTGCCCAGCTCTTGCCGGAATTCTTGCGCCCGGCTGGCACTTGCTGGGGCTTCCTTCGAGGGGCCTCAGGTCGTATTCAGTTCGTGCGGACTTGTTAATTTAGTCTCAGTCGGTATCGCAGAGCAAGCACGAGGACGATGGCCACACCTTATGTAGCCATTTGCGACATATCCAAAGCCCGAGACGGATGCCTGCGTGCGACAGTCCTGAGATGCTACAGGCTAGCATGATGCAGGAGTGTCGTGCTGTAGAGGTTCATGGGTAGTTATAAGTAGGGTTTTAAGTCTCCTAATATGGGTTATAAGTATAGTTACCTACTTATAGCCCCACTTATAACTACCCATGAACCTCCAAGTAGGATCTGGGATCCAGTCCGTCAAGATGCTTGTTTCCCCTCTTTCCGGAGAGCCGCAGCCCCCATCCACACAGAGGTACCATGAAGTTTGTTGCGAAGCTCTGACGGCAGTCGTCGCGAAACACGACTTTTTCACGGGATTGTGCCACTTGGATGAAGCCTGAACCCTAAATCCCTAAACCTCCCCAAACCCGAAGCTCTAAAGCCCTACACCGAAGCCTAAACTGCCTAAACTAAGCTTTCGGCAGCGGGCCCGAGGTTCGAGCCATGAAGCGTTTCGGCACGATCTCTGTGTTCGTGGATTGCAAGACTGGCAGCTTGGCAGAAAAGCGGGGAAAAAGCCGGCTGTTGGGCTTAGGTCCCTTTGGGAGAGCGGGCGGGTATGTCGAGCTCTGGTATTTACACTCCTTGCCCATTCTGCAGCCACTGCTTCGGCCGTATGCCTAGAACACAACGGTTTTCGATTCCCAAATCCTGAAGTTTTGTGGCAAACGCAAGACTCCGAACACGGGACCCACCCTTCCGAAAGGAACGTGGAGCCTCACGAGGACGGGGTTGAGCGTTTGGGGGGTAAGGTGGGGCATCAGGGTTCGGGTGCTCAGGGCTCAGGGCCTCGCATACGGGGATTAGGGAGGGTTTGGGATCGTTGCATCCTGGGATGCGTGTTCACTTGGCAAGACAGGGTTGGGTCTGGAGGCACTGCAAGCCTTCCTGAGGCAACACCGAAAGAACTGTTGTGTGGCCAGAAATTATCGCAGTATGACATACGCCATGCACTACAGATTCTCTTGGTCCTTCGGAAGCTTGGCTTCAGTAGGGTTTTGCGGTTGTGGATTCAGGGGATCTGGGTTCTTTGAGAGAAACGTTTTCACGGTCCCCGACTCGACACTGGAGTTTAAAAGCCTTTGACGCCCTACCACCAGAAAAACCCTTTACCCAAATTGCCTCCTAAACCCCCTTGAACCCCCTGAACACCCCCAAACCCAAAAACCTACTTCCCGGCGGAGGTGCTGCTTTCTGCGGGGCTGAAGTGTCCGAGCATGCTCTTCGTTGCGCACGGCTGCTCGGAGCAGTGGGGTGTGCTCCCTGTAGGAAGCTGGCGTTTAGGGTTCAGGGGGTCTGAAATTCAGGTTCCCATGGTAAGGAAAACCACCCCAGCTAGTTGCAATAGCTGGAGGATCCCTGAACTAGGGGATTTATTTGGGGCGGTGGCTGTAAACCCTAAGCCCCAAACCCTAAACCCCTGTGGAAGAAGCCTCAGAGCTCTTCTCGAGGCTGCGTCCTCTATGGCCAGCGCTTCTGCCGCCAGCGGTCTTTCACCGTCGTCACCACCTCGGCCGCCTGGGCCCCGGGATGCAGAAGCGACCGGAGCTTGGGAGGCTACCAAAAAACTTTAAAAAACACCACAACTAGGACAATGCAAGGGCCTTAAAGCCTTAAAGCTCGAGCTCCGGAAGCATACATGAAGCTTCCTGGGTAATTAACTATACATGTCTGGGTGACAGCAAGTGCCTCAGTTAGGCTTTAAAAGTAGTTTATGAGTATAGTTGCCTGCGCCGCATACTATACGAAGTTTTTCCGGGATCCCGTGTGCGAGCCCCAAGAACTGGCCTGGTGTTACTCTCCGGATACCCAGAGACTCCAATATCCCTTAATTAAGGAATATACCTTAAATCGTATAAGGGATCCTACCATAATTGAAGGTATATTCCTTAATTAAGGGATATTGGAGTCTCTGGGTAGAACCCTCGTGGAACCCTCAGCGCTAAGACCCCTGATCCTTTTGGTCAAACCCCCGGACCCGAAGCTCCAAACTTGTATGGGCGGTCGTCAAAATTATGGTCCCTTTTTGGGTACCCTAAATAATAGGTGCTGTCTTATTCTTATGAGCCAAGAAGGAACCCTAATTTTGACAACCACACGTATAAACCCTTAAGAAATCTGAGAACGGCAAGCCTTTTGAGGCCCCAAGCACATAAGCAAACGAGGCCAGCAGCCGAGTCGAGCCTTTGATGGTCGTCGCCGGGCTGCATCGAGGGCTTAAGGGTTCAGGCTTCAGTTCAAAGGAATTGGGCTGCCTGGGGTTTAGGGTTTTAGGATTCTTGAATATTTTTTGGTGTCTACCTCGAGATTGGGTTTGCGATTGAGGGTCTAGGCCGCCAGACTCTTCGACTCCAGTTGCACGCCAAGACACGATTTGTGGCCTGTGTGAGGCGTCTTTGTTTGCAGAGTTTTCAAGCTAAGGGCGATACACGAGATGGGAACAACAATATCCAGTTCCTGCACCTCTGCGGCAGATTTTAGATAATCCTACACCCTGATCTCCCAACCCTGAACCCCAAGACCCCTCATCCTAAACGCTAACCCCCAAATCTTAGTCTCAATTACCGAAAATCTTAAACCCAAACCCCGCGAGTCCCATGGCCCCATGGTCCTATAGCCGACCTGGCAGCCTCAGGACCATAATGATGTAGGCCCCTGAGTAATCAACTCCCCGCGCTAATCCCAGAGACTCCAATATCCCTTAATTAGGGAATTTACCTTAAAATATAATCGGATCCCTAATACAGTTTAAGGTATGTTCCCTGATTAAGGGCCATTGGAGTCTCTAGGATAAGGACTATTGGAAATCCTCATCTTAAAGCCCTTGCTGGGAGGGGTTTCTTAATCATCGATTCATAAGCTCCTTTTCTTTGAGGGCCTTGATCTTAGGATGCCTCCTATAATTCCTGTTGTGGTAGGTGGTTCTAGTTTCTATTAGACTCTATTGTAATAGAACCCTAATAGCCCCGAGGTCGTCGTGTACCTCTACACAACACACGGTTGAAGAATGAATCGTAGTATCGTCCCCTTAGAGTCCGCATTCGAAGCATACTTTTGCATGCTCTTAAGAGCTTCTGTTTCACTGGTTCATACTGGGCTTGCAGTTCAGCTTCTCCCTGCTCTTTCTACGAGGGATTCCAAAGGGCTGCGGTAGAGGTTCTGTACAGATTCGATAAGGTTATTTTGCGGTCATTTGGGCTTGCAAAAGGGGCTTCAGATAGGGTTATAGTTATATCTATATCATAAGGGTTCTACATCGGGTTTTTGAGAGTGCTTTCCAAACGGGCTTGTAAAATGAGGTGTCGTGAGGGTTTATTCTTTGTTTGGGTGTTTGGTTTACTTTAAAGGATCAGGGGCCTAGTGACTAGTGATTTGTTTGCTTATGCAAAACGTGCGAAAGCATGTACTTAAAACCAAACCCGTAACTCTTCTTATCAAGACCGGTCCCCGCCCGAACTGTGAACCCTAAACGACAAAAAACTCTAAACTGCTATCCCCAATCCTTCAAAGAGCTGCCAAGGACGCATGGAGATTGGCTCTGCGAGCAATGCTTCTCGATCTTCACGACTCGATTGTTTAGTCGTAGTTACACGGGCATTCATGGGGTGCTATACGGGCTTTTAGGCTTTTGTTTATACGGATGTTTACTATAGAGTTATAGGGGTGTCTATTGGGTGTTCATGGGTTGTTACAGGTATGAGTCAGGTATGAGGGCTTTAGGGCTTTTTTGAAAGCTGCACCTGGAAGCTCAATGGGTAGCTATAGTTTACATGAATTTTGCAAGCGTGGCGATGTCTATTTTTGGTAGTTAGAGCTTTTGGGACATGTGTGTACTCGTAAGTGTAGGTATTGTAATCTGCGAAGTCCCTGATCCTGCAGGATTCTAGGGTTCAGTGCATGGGGTTTTCTAGCGGATCATCCGTCAATGTCGCAAACTCCCGAGTTGCAGTGCTTCGAGGTCTCTGGACCGAGTGGACCTACATTGGCAAGGCCACGGCGGACGGTCGTACGACGCTTCTCTGAGCCCTGATGGCAAGACAGCAGGGTTCAGCGATTCACCGGCTGGCTGCACCCAGAAAAGCTCCGAACCCTTAGGGTGAGTGGTCATTTTAAAGACGAGAGGTGCCAGGTGGCGAAAGCAAGAAAGGTCTTCGCAAGACACCCAAACCTAGACCCGATCCCGAACCAACTTGAACCCCTCCCTAAACCCTGTAAACCCTACCTGAACCTCAGAGCCACCCTCCGCCGCCTCGAAGCTTTCGGCCTTCCCCAGGTCTTTCGCCTGAGACTCTGATGGAGGTCACGCGCTTGCATCGCGCGCCTCGGCTCTGATTTGCCCGGTTTCTCTCGGGGGAGGGGCTTGTTTCCGAAACCAAAAGTTACCAAAATGGCGACGAAGCACGGACCCGACACCCAGAAACTGAGCCTTGGGAGGCAGCCACTGCCGAGCTGATCCTTTATGCCAGGCCGGCAGCGTTGGAAGGAGTCCGGGGTTCGTCAGTTCGCCCTTCGGGGATCGAGGTGGGTACTATTGCGATGGACTCGCGAACTTGCTCCTGAGCTTTAAAGGCTTGTAAGCAATACAGGGGGGCCTGAAAAAAAAACAGAAGCACGAGTGACAGTAGCTGACAGTAGCAGGGGTTGGAGGGGCTCGAAAAGGGTGCCTAGGCATAGACCCTCGGAGTCCGAAGCCTCCGACACTGCTGAAACATTCACAGCCGATCCAAAAAAATGGCGAGGGCAGTGGAGGATAACTTGGGCCACACGCCACACGCCCTCTAGCAGCGACCCCAGCACCCATGAGACCTCAATATCTGTGTCGCTCCCAGAGACTCCAATATCCCTTAAGGAAAATTCCTTAAATCATATAAGGGATCCTACCATAACTTAAGGTATATTCCTTAATTAAGGGATATTGGAGTCTCTGTGCTACTCCGGCCCTTCAGGCTCTTCGTGAATGCTCTCAAGGACATTCCCGAGGAAGACCGAACGGATCTGCCCGTCCATATGGACAACATCAACTTTTGACACGTCTGGGAAGGGCGAATCAGCCCCGAGCCTGAGATCCAGTTGGGAGTTTCCTTATTATGCTGCAAGTAGAATGGGCCCCCAAACCCTGTTGTAATCATTAAGGCCCCTATGGTAAGCTTGCCAAGAAGGCCGGGGAAGAGGGGCACAGTCGAGTCGCCCTCCTCTGCCCCCGCAATACTACGCACGGCTGAATCTTGATGCTGCGCCAGGCTCTTTTTGCGCTGCCGGCCCTTTTCGCCAGTCCCGAGGGTGCAGGGTTTGAAAGCTACCAACGGGCCCCATCTCCCAAGCCCGGGTTTTAGACTCGGGGTCCCTAAATGGGGTCTTTACGTGAAGAATCCTATTGGGGTTTAGATTAGGGCCCTCCTTTTTTGTAAATATCCCTGTTCCCGGCTTGTGCTGGCCACGGGCCCCCGCAATGGGGGCTACCGCACAGATTTGGGGGCCGGCCGTTGGCGCAAAAGGGGAGGAGGAATGATTCTCGAAATTTGGGGGCAGCTACAGCACAGGCCAACGCACACACTGAAGGGCGCTCTGCGTCATCCGACCCTCCTTCCCTGAAGCATCCGGCAGGTTCGGCGCCGAAGGGTTTTGAAGGCCAGGCGATGCCTCAGAGAGGTCGCAGCTGGCAGCGCTTTCGCTTTTGAACGCGCGCAGCGGCAGCCTCCAGAAATTGGCGATCTCAGAGCCGGGTTGTCGATTTCTCAGGTCCTGTTTAGTCTTAGGGAGACCCTTTGAACTCTACTTCTGGATCTCTTAAAAGGGACCTTGTTGAGAGCCCAAGGGTGCTCCCAATCCTAACTCCTACGATTGGGAACTCAAAATAAGCCAAAGCGGAGATGCACGTATGTTTCCATGGACAGACTTTGAAACCCGACTTTGAAGCCCGACACCCTTAAATCCCAAGTGTCCAGCCGAAACCCAGAAGGGCAAAGCGTGACACGCTCTGCGTCATAATAGGCTGCAGAGGTCTTCAATACCAAAAAGTTGTATCCGCGTATGGTTCACAGACAAACATGAAACTATTTAGGCTCCCATATGCTCCCACAGTATATGATAGTACCACCAATCGCTCTGAGCTTGCTGTTCGATGCCGCTGCGGCTGTAGATACTACATTGCAACCCCTGTGCCCGGTTTGTGTTTAGGGTCCAGGAGTCTGGGTTTTGGGTTAGGGACGAGGCTCGACAGGCCAAAGAAGCGCGTCCTAATCTGTTTTTGGAAGACTGTAAGTCTCAGCCCCAAACCCTGAACCTCAGACCCTGTTGCCGACCCTAATTTCTAAACCCCTGGACCCAAAGCCCTTAAGACTCAGCCCAAACCCGTTTAGGGTGCAGGACTAGCAACTCTAAGCCAGCATCCCAACCCAAAGTTTCCACGAGATTGAGACCTTACTACATCTACACCCCAAAGCCCTAGGAGTCTATGAGCCTATGATGGGCTCTGTTTTAGACGTGGGACCTTTGCTTCCGCGCTCGGCTGCACATGTGGTGGCCCAATGTGCTGCCAGATGATCTGCTCTTGTGAGAGGTCTCATCATGACCCCTCTTCTCCAGGCTTTTGCCTGGGCCCCTTTCCCCAAGCCCCCAAGACCTGAAGAACGCAACCCCGAGACCCACTTAAAGAAAAAGCCCTGAAACCCCAGACTCTACCTTAAGCTTGGGCTCTCCAGTGACACCGAGCGGGCTTGCGCTGCCCGTAGGCTGCGGCCCCGCTCGGAGAGGGTTGTTGGCAGCCGCCGACGGAAGCCACAAAAACCCTAAAGCCTGGGCTCAAGTAGTCGGAACCTAGTTGCAAATCTGCAGGACATACGTAAATATACACGGTATATATGTGGCATAAAACGCATCCCTATTCTGACAGCTTCGCTGGTCCGTAACAAGGGCCCAGGCAGAGCCCCCAAACCCCCAAACCCCCCATCGACTCCTGCAGCTCCTTTCGCAGGAAAAGGGAGGCGGCTTTCGGGCCAGAGCTTGCTTGAAAGGGGGCTCAGCAAGGCATCTCTAATAAGGTTTCGAGCACGTTGTGATAAGGTTGCTATACCGTTTCTAAGAGGCTTCTATGTTTGCAATCTAGACGGGAGAAGAGATCAGGGGTTTTGCGGTTCATTGAAAGGATGAGCGGGTTTTGGAAGGGTCCGATGATGTGCCTATAGGGAGATCATTTAGTTATTACAACATTTGCACACCTCTATAGTACTGAAAGGGTTACGGGACTTAGTAAGCGTTCTGTAAGACTTTCATATGGGTGTACAGGGGTTTAAAGTTTAGTTGTGGGTCCAAAGATAAAGCGAGTGAGCAGGATTGCAGGGTAAGTACGCATGAACCTCCGAGTAGCAAAGCTTCGACAAATCTGCGCCCAGAAGCCGGAATGAGAAACTTAGCAGATTTTTGCGGGCCGGAGGAGAAGCTGCCCCAGTATGGTTCGCCCTACCTGCGCCTCTCCAGCACAGAACTGCTTGAAGAAGAGATGTGAGCTCAGCTTTTACCAGCGATTTCATTCGGGGTTGAGAGGTTGTGGTCGTCTGTTCTGCGGGTTCAAACGCCGGTGATTCACTGATTCGAGGATGAGCTATTGACTGCACCTCCAAATTATCAGAAGCCAAGATTTGAAGGACTTTCATGCTTCCTGTGCAGGTGCTATCCGATGATCGCCCTGAAGGCTCCCGACGGAGCGTGGCTCGGTTGCAGCGCGACTGGGTCCCTGTCGTATGCACAGGCTGCAGCCACGATGATACCTTGCACAACTTGACGTTTCACTCGTACTGACTAATGTAGGTACCTGATTAAGAAACCCCATGGCCCCAAAGTTTCTTAATCAGGTTCCTACATCATGGGTAGTTATAAGTAGGGTTAAAAAGTCCCCTAATATGGGTTATAAGCAAAGCTACCCTACTCAGAACTACCCAAGAACCTCCAAGTAGGCCCTAAACCCTATACCCTTATGGAATCCTTATAGATCCCTTTAAAGGGACCCTTTCAAAGAAGCCCTTATAACCATTCCTCTTCTCTGTCCCCTGTTGGTCCTGGGCCCGGCTCAGCCTTCGAAGCCGGCAGCCTTTACAGTAGAAGCCAGAAAGTTGGAATATCATTATCGTAACCCCTTTAAGGTAAGTTATAGGGGATCCTACCATTAATCCATATTCCAACTTTCTGGAGTTCCCTTTAAGCCATGCTCTTGTGGCACTCGCAGAGCTACTTGGGAGTTTGCGAAAATAGGCGTCTCTTGTATAGTACCCTAAATAGTTGGGTCCTTATTATAAGGACCCAAAAAACAAGGTACCCCTAGTTTTCGGAACCTCCCATTTAGGAGGTCAGGGAGGCGCAGGGTTTAGACTTTGCAGCTGAAGCCTTTCTCAAAAGCGCTGGACACAACACACAGGCAGCCGACGCCAATGGCGACTTGGCTTCAGAGAGATCAGGGTGCAGGATCTATCATACTTTTCAATCAGGCGAGAAGCCTGTTTGTAACATTTCATGATCTGATACTCTATATTACTTTACAATGCAATAGAACACTACGTATTACAACAGAATTTGTATAATGCTACATAAGACTAGTGAGAGCAGCGATGCAAGGATTCCATTCCCCAGGTCTCGTCGGTTCCAGTTGCCCCGGCTTTGCTGGCACATCTCGCGCCGATGGAGCTTCCGACAAGGCTGCGCACTGCAGGGGCACGGGGGGCTTCTGCTTTTCCAGGGATTTTCCTGTCGAGCCGCGGTGGAGTATGTTGTACGTATAACGGGCGCCAAATCCCTAGGAGCTTCAACCCGACTCACACAGCATAGCATCCTGGAACACAACACTATACAACACTGTATAACCAGCATTATATATAGTACTGTATAACTTTTCATTAGGCTTTCTTTGTCGAGATCCCTCCGGAGCAGGGCGAACCGCCGCTGCGACCAAGCGAAGCGCTTCCTCTGAGCTCGAAACGTTTCCCGCCAGCTGCCTCAGGGCGGACGGCTTAGGGTAAAAAGGGGTTGAGGGGTTGAGGGGTTTAGGGTTTAGGGGTTTGGGGTGTGAGGGTTGAGGGTTTAGGAAGATTAGGGTGGCTGTAATCTGGGCATCAAGCTTTAGGGATCAGGCTACTTAGTAAAAGTATCCGAAGTCCCTACAACGATGCAGCCCGAAACCCGATATAAAGCCACTGTAGTGGCCCGGTCTGTTGTGAGGGTTGTTGGACATCCTTTCGGTGTATTCTTGTGGTCAGCGGTTTCTGCGGCAGATGGCAGTGGCCCAGCGACAGTCTGCCTATGTGACGTAGAATGCAAGGAGAAAAGCGTGCCCTGCGAGAGGACTCGGGGTTGATTGAAACTTAATACCACTGTAACGAAAAGTAACAAACACTATACTCGAAAACATAAATACGATATCTATACAATACGACATAAGACCATATAAGACTAGACTATTATACACCACTGTATACTACTGTGTGTCACTTCAATATCCTGAAGCCTGTGCTCCCAAGTTCGAGGCAAGACTCATTATTTTATAGCATATTGTAGTATATTATAGTATATTATAAAGTCTATTGCAGTATTACCGGCTTTCGGATCTGTCAGTGATGTGCAGAAGATAGGGAGGCTCCGAGCACCGGTCCCTCGCAATACCTAGCAAATTCCGACGGAGCCAGAGAAGCTGCAGCTTTTTGCTTGCCCACCATGTGCTTGTACTATGCTAGGTTTGGCGCGCTGCTGTGCTGAATGCGTGTTCGGGTACCGTTCGTCACGCAATGTTACTGCTAGGACCTCGAAGCCATGAAAGTTTAGATTGTACAATCGTAGCACACAAGAAGCCATGAGTAAGTCGTGATAGGACAAGTCCTAACTGGCGGTCACTCGAGAGGTCAGGCAGGAGAGAAGTGCAGGGTCTCACCGGGCTGCAGGAGTCTTGGGCTAGCTCAAGGGTTCGAATGTTCAGAAACGCAGGGATGCGTTCGAAGCCCACTTCCATCTCCAGCGTGGGCTCTAACACATCATTACACCAGAGACGGCTTAGACTATTTGTGCCATGGCGCGGCCAGCTGATTGGCCTCTGCCCAATGTCGACAGGATTGTCGGAGGATCGAAAATCCCGCGAGACCAACATTCTTGGACCACGGCTCTTCACATTCGTGAGGAAGCCGCAGAACTGTTCCAGGTTGTTCCCTACTACGATTGTCTCCGGTCAATGCTAGTTGCTGTTGACGACATGACTGGTAGTCTCCGTGCTCTCACTTGTGAAGAAGTAGAGGGTCGCGACCATCGCTTGTACGGATGCAGCCCGTTCTTGTCGCTTCTCGACGTTGCTATCCTTTCAGGAGATACGCACAAGGCCGGCATCCTGCACAGCATCGGAGTTCCGCAATACTGCGCTCCGCGATTTTCCTATTTCTGTAGCCCCTTTACTGAAGTCGCAGACAGCCGGACCACTCGGGCTGTCCTGACGGCGTACAAAGTCTGCAAGCCACTGTTCCGCCAACTGTGTGAGGATCCCAGCTCACTCGGAAAGGCAATTGCCGGTGGACAGGACTCTTTGTCGGCTCTGTTACTTCGTACTGGCGCTAGCACAGCCGCTAGGAAGGACACTGGGAACTTCCTCTTTCGCATCCGGACGCTGGAAACCCGCAATCACTGTCAGCTTGCACTGAGGATGGATCGCCTGCTGCATGCTGTTGATCTGGGCAGGGACATCCGCTCACTTCTTGTTGACCCCTGGCTTGCGCTGCAGTATGCAGGTAAGCAGCATCGCTGTGCCGCAGTCCGAGCTCAGCTGAGATGGGATTTCCTGCGGTCCCCGGATGCAACACGACGATTCCGTGAGCAGACATTGCTTGAGATGGCCATCTGCTGCGGCCAGCTTGATGCGACGCGATACTTGACGAATGCACATTGTCAGGCGACTGGGCTGACAGCAAGCGATCTGACAGGACCTATGTTCCCCGATGGTCGGATTCGCAACACCACCATCAACAGGAGTGTCGGAGCCGCGGCGGCTGCACGCTTGGCCTATCACCTTTGCCAGCATCAATACCAGATCGTGATCGTGCAAATGGCTCGGTGGTGGTCGCGCGGAGGTGGCGGGATTTGCGTGGCTTTCAGCGGAGTGGTTGACCACATCGCTGCCTTTGCTCTTGCGGTGCCTGCCTGAGATTCTACAGCTGCCGCGACCTTTGGGAACTCGCCGTGCCGCAAAGCGAGCTGCGTACCGCCGCCGATGTGCAGGGCAACGTGATGCCACCACTCAGCAGGTGGTGAAGTCCACAGAGCAGGGGGTCAAGTCCAGTGTGCAAGTGGACGAGTGCAGAGAGGAGGTTGGTCCAGAGGTGATTCAGGAGGTCGTGCACGGGTCCCAGGAGGTGGCGGCCTTCATTTCTGAGGATGTGGCCGAGGCCACTTCGCATGCCCTGTGGGAGTCTGCCGTGGAGATGAGGCTTGCCAGGGTGGCGGCTGCAGGCAGCGATCCTGAAGCAGGAAGCACTTCGCACCAGGCAACCGAGAAGATCTACCTTGGCAAACTCAACCGAATCCCAGGACAGCTGCTGAGAGAGCTTGCTTCGGGTCCGGCACTCCAGCCCTGCCGCCGGGCGCTTGAAGCAGAGGGTCTTCCATGGAAGCTCTCCAGTGGTGCCTTCATGTTTGTCAGCCCCTTTCAGCATGTGGACGCGATGACGACGCTCGCCGACGAGCAGCTGCACCCAGACAACATCATCTTTGCAGAGAGTCTGGAGTATTTGATTGATGAGGTGCTGGGACAGCATGGAACCTGGATGAAGGACCGGAGCACGATCGGCATGGATGGCATTAATCCTGGCCCTACCTCAGAAGTCGATTCCGCCTGCCAGGCTGAGGCGGAAAGTCAAGGAAGCGATGCAGATCGAAGACGAGACGCGTTCCTTTTAGACTATGTTGGGGAATGGGATCCCTGTTCGATCGTGGACAGGACTTTCCTTTGCTAGGCTCCTGTGCGAAGCTCGCTCATGGTGACAGCTTCAACGACGGATGCCGTAAATCCGGATGCTAATCCGAGGCGGACAGAAGTTTTGAAACCCTAGATGGGTGGCTCTCTGAGGTGGGACACCTGTACCAGGTACCAGAACAACAGATGGCAATAGCCACAAGAACTAGAATCCAGAAAGCTACCCGGCCACATGTCACCCCTGCGTGCAGTCCGCTGCCTGCATATAGAGAGAGCATATCATCGGGGTTACGGGTCTCCAGATCCAACGCCATCTAAGACATCTACAGTCCTGCTTGAAACAGGGTGACTGCATTGCATGTTCTGTCTTTGACAAGGCGATACGTCTCCAAGAAGCAGTCATGCACCTTGGACACGCGACCGCAGCATTTGACAAGTAGCTCGACCAAGGGAGACAAGGGTTTCCTCCAGTTTTTTGTAAGTTCAAGCACATGTATTATCTGAGCTAGATTTCTCACGAAGTGTTGTGGCCTCGCTTGGTTTCACAACCTCCGAAACTGCTTCAGCTTGAGGCTTTTCAAAGGTGCCTCAGATGTACAGGTTCGTCTCGGGCTGGATGGCAATAGGTCTTCGACCAAGAAGCAGTCATGCACTTTGGTCGGAGGACCAGCGTTGCATGTGGATCCAGCAGAGAAAAACCGGCTCTGCATGTCAACTTCGTCCAAGCTTCATGCATCTAAGGTTGTTGCTGTGAGACGTGGGTTGGAAGAGCGCACTCTCGTCAAGCCCCTTACAATCCAGCATTCCCTACGCTTACAACCGCCCACATCATCCAAAGAAGCCCCGAGAGAACGAGTCAGGCTTCGGAGCCTGCTGAGCAGGGGCCTCGGTGATCCTCGGAACCTTTCAGCTAGAGTTTTCGAAGCCTAGAGGGCAGCGGAAATCTGCGGCTACGCAGTGCCGCAGAAGGGCGGCTGGAGATTTTGAAGCTGACTGGGTTTCGTGATCAGAATGACGGCTTGTTAAAATTCTTGGAAGCACTGGCATAAGAGAGGCCGTTTTCGTGAATATACTCTTGTATGTGATTGCAAGCGACATCCGAGATGCAGATCGAAATCATTAGGATGCCTGATCTTTACCGCACTTTCGGTCGGAGCTTTTTCGACGTGTCTGTTTTGTCGGGGTTGAGGATCTGTGATCTAGGTTGGATGCAGCAGCTGGAGGTTGCCTCCCGGAGGCATCGAACTAGGAGCAGCGAGAAAGGCATACACCTTAAGCTTGAAAGCACCCTCAACCCCAAACTCTGACCCGAGTCCTTTTACTATGTGTGTTAAGAAGCTTGTAGACTCCAGGTCCCCAGCAGCCTGTTCGACTGCGGCCGGACCTCTGCCGCCGCCAGGCAAGTGGCAGGAAGTCAGTGCACGATATTCCAGCCTCGCATTTCAATTCTCGGGAAAGCTACAACTGGGGATGCTACGTGTGGGCATTCTCCAATTGTAATTGCGCGAACCAGCGCTGCATCTGCAGTTGTCAAACGATAGAGTTCTCTGTGAGGCTTTACCGACTGCGGTGAAGCCCCACCCCTGCACAAACAAGGAGAGCTGTTGCATGTGGATCCTCCTTGATGGCTCAAGCTGCAGCCTACATCAAAAAGTCGAGGCATCCCGCCATCCCGAAGGGTTCACAGACCCCCGAAGCAAGCTGCAGTCTACTGCTTGCCCAAGTAGCCGATTTTGAGAAGAGCACGGTTCATTTGCGTTGGTGAAGGAAAGGGTGGGATCTTCAGGCTCGACCTCCACAGCCACAACAACCCAAGCCCCCGAACCCAAAACTCCCAAAAGACGCCTGCAAGTCACCAAGCTATCGCTTTCCTCACTTCCTGGCCTTCCGGGCCATGGCGTGACGACCTCACAGACATGGCCTGGCGGCCACAAGCCACGTGCGTACTGGGCTTCCCGGAGCAGACACCCGAGTGACAGGGAAAGTCGAAGTAATGATAAGCCTTTTTTGGGGCTTGCAGAGGTTTAAGGAGACTAGTAGCGATGATGAAGTGGGCTCTTGTGTCTCTGCTTACTGGCATAGTAATAGTTGTACTTGATCCCCAGTCCCGATACTTCCTGTCTTTCTGCTGTGCTCGAGTCATCGTGTGAGCCGTGACGCGTTTCATCTCTGCAAGGAGTCTTTGCTCGGAGCCTTCCAGGGAATCTGACAGAAACCTGGCCATCCCATCCCAGTGGCACAGTTTTTCACAAACACCCAGCGGAGCCGAGGCTTCTGGCTCTGCCTGCTGTCCCAGTGGGAAAAGGATTCCACACCATGGCTCCGGCCGCGGGCTCGGAGTGGATGAAGATGACGGTGGCTGCTTCGTTGGGATCCGGATTGCAGAGTTCTGTAGCGTATTTCTCTGCGGAGGCGGAGGAAGGGCTGCCGTCAGGCTGCGCTCTGCTACTAATGAAATCCGGCGTTCCTTCCTGAGGCCCAGCAGCGCAAGCCGAAGCTGCACACAGATACAGGCTATGAAACCGGGCTGACACTGGGGCATGTGGGTTTCGGATTCCTGCAAAACTTGGACATGGTGTATCGTGAATTGGGATTGTGTGGCCTGTGATTGGCGATGGCGGTCGGTCTGTTGATAGCGGCAGCCGGGCTCGATAATCGTCGTAGCCCCGCCGATCATGAGAATCTGGGTAAGGTAATCTTGGTTCGGCATCCGAAAGAAGCCCCCTGCAAAAATCTGCAGACCCACGCCCCGAGAAGTGAGATCTCTTGAACCCTTGTCCCTAAACATCCTGAAGCCCCTGGACCGCAGACGCCGGACCCGAAGCCTCTAAACCGGAAGCCGCAAGCCGTATATCCTAAAACCTATAGAGAGAGACCTTTTATAGACTCATAGACATCGGTTTTTCTCTCAAGAGCCCCGAGCAGTTTCGTAAGAAGCAGCGCCTCGAGGCAAAGCGCTTTAGCCGCTACTCGCGGTCCTTGCGGCAGCCCTGGCTGGGCTTCGCTGAGCTCTGGGGAGGGTTGGGCAAGTTCGGGGCGGCTTTGGAGGGCGTCTTTTCTTTTGTGAGCTGGCAAGAGGTCGGTGGTGGAAGATTTCACGCCTTGAGACGCCGAGGCTTTTTTGGAGATCAGCATATTACGATCCGGCTCAGCTCCTTGAGCTGGCCCTGCGACTCTTGAGGGCAGCAGGAATTTGGAATCCTCAGGCACAGGAAAGCCACCTCACCGTCGCATGCCAGGCGCACGGCTGGCAACACACTGCGCCCCGGTGACAGGCGGCCGCCCGAGCAAGATGGGGGTCTGTTGCACACGTTGTCGACAGACTTGGGGGAGTAGGAGAGCGATGCCGCAACTACGACTGGAAGGCATCTCAATTCTGCTACCAGGTCTGAAGCTTCAAGCCGAAGCGCCGACTTGAGCCAGTTGCAAGTTCAAATGTTCAAACAAGTTGGAATGATTCACTGATTGCACCGAGTTGAATCACTTCCCTGAGTTCGCCAAACCTTCACTGTGAGCACTGTCAAGGGAATCCTGCACTAGGCAGCATCTCCTGGCCGAGCTGCCGGCCGAGGTCGACCAGCGTGCTCGGGCACCCGGTTGAGCGCATTTGAGCGCTAGCATAGGCAGAGGTAGCGCTGGGGTGGGGATCTGCTCCAGGCTAATTGGGTCGACCGCGAACCGTCGAGCCCAAATTTCGCAACCCTGAGCGAGAAGCTCGGCAGACCCTCGAGCACGAGCTCTGAGAACCTTCCGAGGTGTCGGATCTCCTTGGCCACTTCGAGGAGGCGAGCGGCCTGAGGGATGGGCGATTTCCTGGCAATTCGGGATCCAGTCTGGACGGAGTCCGAAGATGGAACAGCGAGCTCGAAACTCTGGACCCCCACAACCCAAGAGTTTCAGTCCTTTGTGTGATGCCCGCTGCGAGGCTTATGCCGCCCCCGACTTTTCGCCGCAGCAGCTGAAGGAGACACCTCTTGACTCAGAAATCCTCCTGCAGGGTGGAAGGTCTTTGCCTCGGGGCAAATTAGAACGGGGGTCCGTTTCAAGGGATCCTTAAAAGGGTTCTTTATAGGGGCTACAATAAGGATGCTATAGTTTAGCCGGAGTCTTGGTGCTTGCTTTTGCTTCAGTTTGCCGACTCCAACTCTATCGAGAGGTTTCGCCGATAAGGCTTGCCAGCAGGCATGCCATGTGAATGTTTCAGAGACTTTGGGGCTGTAGTCATAGACCTGAAACGGTAGAATCGTTAAAGGAACCCCTCAAACACGAGACCTTGATTGAGCAACACATGTTGAATACAAGGAACCTCTGCTTCGAGGGCTGTAGCACCATCCCTGAGGCCTTAAGGAGAGCAAGAGCACTTCTTGGTTTTTTGTGACCTGAACCTTGGCCTTCAAAGCCGTCATCCCTTGCATTGCCATTGCGAAAAGCAGGGCTTATCAGAACGATGCAAGGAAAGCCAGGCGAAGCCTTCTAGAGGCTCGCAGGAAGAACTGCATCACGGTAACCTTAGTCTTGGGGGATGAAGCCTGAGATATCTGAACGGCGCCAGCCTGACTCGCACCTTCGAAGTCTCAGTCCCTAGCTGCGCAAGCGAGCTTCGTGTCCATCCTCATAACTCCGAATGGTGTCGAAGCCTACCGCTCCCGACCCAAACAGTTGGGAAGCTTTCTCTCCTCTAGTCGGTGCCGGGATTGTGTCAGTGGTAATGAGTGCTGTCTTCATGCGCGAACGCCGAGGAGGAGTACAACACGCACTTCAGGCAGATGCTTACAGAGCTGTGGGCGTGTGGTTGAAAGTTTCGCGCGTCGGAGGCTTCACCGTAAATGTTTCCCGTCGGCTCTCAACTATGCTTGTCCATCTTTCGATGGCGATGCTAGTATCGTTTTGCATCGGGGTTTTGATAAGAAGTTGTCCCTGAATCTGGGCTCTTCGGTGATTCCCGGCCTTCGCGAGATCCCGTGTCGTGAGCCCACCAATCCACATCGACCCGCCCAAGGCAACATCAAACCCGAAGCGGTCGGCCAGCACCTATTGAAAACATGTCTCAAACTTCGTAACTCTGCATGCCGCCTTCCCAACTTCTGCAAGCTTGGGGAGGCCGCAAGCGGCCAGCCAGGCGTGGGAGGAGCTCTCGCCGAGAGGCCACGGCCACCACCGAAATGGCTTGCACAGGTTCGAGTGTACTGGGGGTGGGTGTCGTGGTTTATAAGGATTTAAGGGGTTAAGGGTTTAGGGTTGCATGTTGTAGTAATGGTGTTAGCAGAGTGGAGTGGGGAACACAATAGTAGCAGAAGGGAGTACCGGTGAGAACATCGTTGTCGTGATGGGCCTCCTCGCCCTCAACCGCAGAGATTCTCCCAGCCACTTCCAAGCAGTGGCTCAAGGAACGGATCTCATAGGAATGCAGAGATTCGCGATGCACAGAAGGCAGAAATTCAGTCCACGTGAATGAGAGGTCAAGCAGCACTAGCATACGTTTGCCGGAGGACTTGTTGCCGAGATGGAATGGCCGCTTCAGCAGCTCAAACGGATTGTCAGGGTATCAGACTGCCGTCATTGTTACTGGTCAACCGGTCTCCACATTCGCGAGGAGGCCGTCGAGCTTTTCCGCATCGCTGAAATCCGCACAACTCTGCGATCAACGGTATTTGTGGCTTTGTGTCTCGCTGGAGGGAAAAGAGGGATGGCCATACATTGTTTCCAGGCCTCCACACGTGATGAAGCCAACAAACTTGTTCAGAGGTATGATTTGGATGACCTCATTTTGAGCCCTGTCCTGTCACTCCTCGACATTGCCATCGTCTCGGGCGACACGCCCAAAGCCACCCTTCTCCACGGCATCGGTGTTCCGCAACTATATCGTTTCTGGCTTGCTGACTTTCTTGACCCTTTTAAGCGTGTTGCAGACTTCCGGACCACGCGAGCCATTACGACAGCGTACCAACTGTGCAAACCGTTGTTTTACAGTCTGTGTTTGCATGACGAGTTACTTGGCCGGGCAATTGCTGACAGACAGGACTCCTTGTCGGCTTTGCTCGTCCTCAAGGGTGCCAGTGAAGCTACTCGAAAGAACTGTGGAAACTTTCTCTTCTGCATCCGGACCCTGAAACCAGCCCGCAGGCACTGCCAGCTTGCATTGAGGATGGACCGCCTCTTGCACACCGTTGAACTCGGCATAGATATCCGCTCGCTGGTCGTGGATCCTTGTCTTGCACTGCACTACGCGTGCGAGAGGCAGCGCTCTTACACGATCCGGAAGAGCATGCAAACTTTTTTCTTCGTGTCGTTGCTTCCGAGTCTGGAGTATGAGTGTTTACAGCTTCCTGAGTTTCGGCCGCTGAAATGGAGGGCTGGGCAGACACTGCTTGAGATGGCCATCCGCTGCGGCCAGCTTGATGCAACCCGGTACTTGACGCATGCGCACTGTGAGGCGACGGGGCTAACAGCGAGCGATTTAGCAGGACCCATGTTCCATCAGCAGTTCGTCGAAGACGATGATTGGATTCGCAACACCACCATCAACAGGAGTGTCGGAGCCGCGGCGGCTGCACGCTTGGCCTATCACCTTTGCCGGCATCGATACCAGATCGTGATCGTGCAAATGGCTCGGTGGTGGTCGCGCGGATGTGGCGGGATTTGCGTGGCTTTCAGCGGAGTGGTTGACCTCATCGCTGCCTTTGCTCTTGCGGTGCCTGCACTGCCCGAAATTCTACAACTGCCTCGACCTTTGGGAACTCGCCGTGCTGCAAAGCGAGCTGCGTACCGTCGGCGATGCGCAGGGCAACGCGCTGCCACTGAAGTCCGCTGAGCATGAGGTTTGAGTCCTGACTTTCGACTCGTTAATCGCAGGATCGAGACAACCACACACTTTTGCACTTGGCCACCCACTGCTGTTCTTCAGAGAGCGGGTACCAGAGAGGGCATCACACACTTTGCCCCTCACAAAGCTTGCTGCCATGGCGACGCGAGGCTGCAAGGTACAAGGGTGCCGGCGTTGCAGCACCTTTTCCCAAAGCGGAGTTTTCAAGAAGCAGTCACCGTAACATCTGTTAAGGGGCTAGACCAAGACGAGGATTTCCTGATGCAGATGGCTACCGTGCTTTCTTACAGCACAGGAGCCTGATGTCTAGCTCGCTGGGTCTGACCACCCGGGAGTTGCGCTGCTTCTTTAAGGCGTCCGGCATAGTCGCGCGTAATCGGTACGGATGGTGATGTGGTATTCGAAGAACAAGCAGTCATGCAATTTTGGTCGGATAGACCAGCATTGCATTGGGATCCAGCAACAAAAGACTTGCTTTCTTCCTGTGGGCGCGGCATGGAAATCTACTGATATCTCTGCGCAACAACTTGGTCCAAACTTCATGCAAGATGTGAGTTGCAGTGGCGCAGGATGACGATGATGAGCACTCAAGTGTCAATTATTGCCATTACATATGGCTAGCACCATCTGGAACTGTTGCTGTTGTTTCTTTTTCTGTGACGGTTGCCAAATGGCGCGGGCCAGTTGAACAGAGTGAGTGAGGTGCTGAACAGAATAACAGAAGCAAGAAGAATGCATGTGAAGTGCGATCGTGATAGGAAAAGAGTCAGAGGGAAGGAGACTAGTTACGAATCCCAACTGGCAGAGACTGTGCGCTTGTGCTTTCACATATGAAAGAAGTCCAGGGTTTCACCTGGCCGCAGCAGACTTTGGCTCAGGAACACAGGATGTGCGCGTCACCAACTCCATCTCCAAAATAGGCTCTAATACATGGGAGTTTCCGAAAATAGAGGTGCCTGATTTTGTGGGTCCTTATACTAAGGATCCCACTATTTAGGGTACTATGTTAGGGTCCCCTATTTTCGGAAACCCCCACATCATTGTTGCAGACAGCATATACTATCACTGCAATGCCACGCCGCCACAACTCTGAGGAAACTGCTCGACGTCAGCTGGATGTCGTCGGTATGATTGTCAGAGTATCAGAACACCGCCGAGACGGTTATTCTTGGACCACGAGTCTCCATCTTCGTGAGGAAGCAGTCAAACTGTTCCAGGTTGTTCCCTACTACCAGGCTCTTCGGTCAACGTTGGTTGTTTATAGGCATGGTCGGATCCATGCCTTTACATGCTATGAAGTTAGAGCAGCGGAATTCGACCGAATGGAGGATGATCAAAATAGCCCTGCTTTGTCGCTCCTTGATGTTGCTATAGTTTCAGGAGATACGCCAAAGGCCAGCATCCTGCGCAGCATCGGTGTTCCACAATACTGTCCTCTGCGTTTTACCGATTTCTGTAACCCCTTTACAGAAGTCGCCGACAGCCGGACCGCTCGGGGTGTCATCACAGCGTACAAACTCTGCAAGCCACTGTTCCGCCAACTGTGTGAGGAACCCAGATCTCTCGGAAAGGCAATTGCGGGTGGACAGGACTCTTTGTCGGCTCTGTTAGTTCGTACTGGCGCTAGCACAGCCGCTAGGAAGGACACTGGGAACTTCCTCTTTCGCATCTGGACGCTGGAAACTCGCAAGCACTGTCAGCTTGCACTGAACATGGAACGCTTGCTGCATGCTGTTGACCTGGGCATAGACATCCGCTCACTTCGTGTTGACCCCTGGACAGCTTTAGGTCATGCATGTACTATGCATCGTTTCGCCCCATTCCGACATCATATGCGGGGTTATTTCAAAGAGTTGGGGCATTTGCGGTCGCTGAAATGGAGGCGGGGGCAGACACTGCTTGAGATGGCCATCCGCTGCGGCCAACTTGATGCGACACGATACCTGACCGACGCGCATTGTGAGGCGACTGGTCTGACAGCGAGCGATCTGACAGGACCTATGTTCCAAGAAACAGACTACACGGACAGAGATGGCATGCCGCGCACACTCACAATCAACAGAAATGTCGGAGCCGCGGCGGCTGCACGCTTGGCCTATCACCTTTGCCGGCATCAATACCAGATCGTGATCGTGCAAATGGCTCGGTGGTGGTCGCGCGGAGGTGGCGGGATTTGCGTGGCTTTCAGCGGAGTGGTTGACCACATCGCTGCCTTTGCTCTTGCGGTGCCTGCACTGCCTGAGATTCTACAGCTGCCGCGACCTTTGGGAACTCGCCGTGCCGCAAAGCGAGCTGCGTACCGCCGCCGATGTGCAGGGCAACGTGATGCCACCACTCAGCAGGTGGTGAAGTCCACAGAGCAGGGCATCAAGTCCAGTGTGCAAGTGGATGGTCTAGATGTGATTCAGGAGGTCGTGCACGAGTCCCAGGAGGTGGCGGCCTTCATTTCTGAGGACGTGGCCGAGGCCACTTCGCATGCCCTGTGGGAGTCTGCCGTGGAGATGAGGCTTGCCACGGTGGCGGCTGCAGGCAGCGATCCTGAAGCAGGAAGCACTTCGCACCAGGCAACCGAGAAGATCTACCTTGGCAAACTCAACCGAATCCCAGGACAGCTGCTGAGAGAGCTTGCTTCGGGTCCGGCACTCCAGCCCTGCCGCCGGGCGCTTGAAGCAGAGGGTCTTCCATGGAAGCTCTCCAGTGGTGCCTTCATGTTTGTCAGCCCCTTTCAGCATGTGGACGCGATGACGACGCTCGCCGACGAGCAGCTGCACCCAGACAACATCATCTTTGCAGAGAGTCTGGAGTATTTGATTGATGAGGTGCTGGGACAGCATGGAACGTGGATGAAGGACCGGAACACGATCGGCATGGATGGCATCAATCCTGGCCCTACCTTAGAAGTCGATTCTGGCTGCCAGGCTGAGGCGGAAAGCCAAGGAAGCGACGCAGATCGAAGACGAGATGCATTCCTTGTAGACTATGTTGGGGAATGGGATCCCTGTTCGATCGTCAGCAGGACTTTCCTTTGTTTGGCTCCTGTGCGAAGCTCGCTCATGGTGACGGCCTCAACGACGGATGCCCAAAATCCGGAGGCTAATCCAAGGCGTGCCGAAGCTTCGGAGCCTTAGACATGGCCGTTTTGAGGTAGGATACCTGTTCCAGGTACCAGAACCAGAGATCAGAAAGCTGCTCGGCCACACGTTGCCTCTGTGTGCAGTCCACTGCCTGCATACAGTGAGCGCATATTATCGGGGTTACCACCTAGCCTTCCTCCAGATCCAACGCCCTCTAAAGACATCTACAGTCCTACTCGAGACAAGGGGGTGACCGATTGCATGTCCAGTTTTTGGCAGGGGACGTGTTTCCAAGAAGCAGTCATGCACCTTGGACACGCAACCGCAATATTTGACAAGTAGCTCGACCAAGGGAGACGGGTTCCTCGAGTTTTGCAAAGAGATCACATTTTATTTGAGTCAGATTTCTCACGAAGTGTTGTAGGCTCACTTGGTCTGACAACCTCAGAAGCTCCTTCAGCTGCAGGCTTTTCAAAGGTGCCTCAGATGGACAGGTTCCTCTCGGGCTGGATGGCAATAGGTCTTCGACCAAGAAGCAGTCATGCACTTTGGTCGGAGGACCAGCGTTGCATGTGGATCCAGCAGCAAAAATCCTAGCTTTGCCATGCACCAAGCATGGACCGCAGCGCATGCCGACTTCGTCCAGGCTTCGTGCATAAGATGTAAATTGGATTGACCGTATTCTTTTCTCGCCCGTATTCCTGAAAATATCCAACTCGCCCTCAGGGCTATTATCAAAGAGGCTGAGGTCTAGAAGCCCGACACCTCCTGTAATCATGCCGCCAGTGCTTGGATTTCCGATGCCCAGAAAGAAGCGTCGCGAGGCTTTGCTCGGCTGCTGGCAGATGAGAGGCTCACCTCGAGCTCAGCTGTGATGGATGCTGCCCGGTTGAGACGCAGGGTTCAACGGCTCTTCGTAGGCTTAGAGTTTTGGCTTGGCCTCAGCAGTGCATGCTTTCCGTTTTGTTCCCGGCCATTCCAGACGAAAGGGACTGCATGGCTGAGCCAAGAAGCAAGGCTTTGTGGCTTGTCGAGCAATATTGAGCATGGAGATGATGTTCATAGCAGTAACGAGAATCATGCACACGGTAGCAGTGTTATCATCAATCTTTATCGTAATCGCGTGCCAGGGCCTAATCATCGACAATATTGAAAAATAGTAACAAACAAGCAGGGTCACAGCAACGACATGAGTTGCCCTGGCTTTCAGGTTGGTAGCGGCCTCGGCAAGCTGGTGGCCGTCGCCGCGTGACCCTGAAAATCAGGGTTCGTCTCGAGGGTTCAGGGGGTTGCAGGTGCAGGACTATCAGATTTCTAGCTCAGGGTTTTGATTAAGAGTTGAGGGTAGTCTAGGGCTGTGGATCTGGGAGTTTAGTATTTTGGGTCCAGGGTAGAGTTCGAAGGTTTGAGTCGGTACCTAGCAGAGAACTGTCGTTCTCATTGGGCACCAGCTCGAGTGCTCAGCATGATCTGCTCAGAACCGGTACCCTCGAGAGCAGCCTAGCTTGGAGTTGCTGCGATTTTCGCTCGCACGTGCGTGCGTGCATGCGCGTGTGTGTGTGTGTGTGTGTGTGGGTGGGTGTGGGTGGGTGTGGGTGGGTGGGTGGGTTAGGGGGGGTGGGCGGGTGGTGGTGGGGGGGGCGATGGAAGGTATTTGATCCCGAAGACTGCAGCTTTGGCCGTTTGGGTTTTGGGTCGTATCTGATCTTTTGGATGGGACTTTTTCAGAAAGCCTGCGGTCGAGCTTTCGTGGTGTTTCAGAAACAACCTAATTCCTAAACCCGAACACCCCAGACTCCAAACCTGAAACGGGCACAGCCCCAAAGTCTTTGACGTGCCGCGCGCCTCAGGCTGCCACCACCCCCGTCTCTGCTGCCTGGGGCATCGAGCGCCGCCGGCGAAGCGGGGATGCAGCCTGCAGGGTCTCTTTTTCCCTAACATAAGGGGGTGTCTCTTGTTGCGCGGAGTGTGTCGTTCAGGATCAGAAAATATATAGATCGATCCGTACTTATTCTATATATATATATATATGTATCCATATAGAGTAAGATTGTGTAACCTACTTTTACTCTCTGTTGGGTCCCTCGTCTTGCTCCCGGATGCCTGATCCCAGGACCAGTGAGCTCCCAGAGCCCCGGGCCTTCACTATGGTAGCTTAAGTTAAACTCCTGAAGAAGAGCCCTTAAACCCTAAACCCTAACTCTAAACCTTAGGAGCCCTTAAGAGGATCCCTTAGAGGAGCCTTCGCGAATCAGTTTTGTCTGGCCTTTCTCAGAGCATCGGGTCCCTTTGGCGAGACCGGGCCGCTTTACAGACATAAAGGTTATAGTAATACGTAATCATAGTAATGATGATAATGATCATACTGATATTAATAGTGATATCAAACTAGTAGTAATGAAGAAACACTATTAATACGAAACAACAGTACTTTCTTATGATAATGATAATAATGATATTAGTAATGATAACATATTAGGAATAATAATACGTAACAGTAGTAACTATGATAATAGTAGTAAAGATATTAATAATGATAATAAGGTAGTAATATGATAATTTCGGTACTGATTGTTTTTTTGGAGCGGCAGCTCTCGTTCATCCATCCCCGCGCCTGCATCCTGCAGGGTGCACGCATGGCATGCATGATCGCGCACAGTATGCGTGACGCATGCTTGCATCACAGCCTGCAGATGTAGATAGGTACGTGCATACAGGGTCTTTGTACATATGTAGGTATGCGGCCACACTTATGTGCCCGTCTGAGATACTGATGTTGTTAGATGCACTGCACAGATCCAAACTGCATCCGGCGCAAAAGTATGTTTGAAGTAGCTATCAATAGCTCTCGTTGTTGTGATGACCGTTATTGTAGCTATGAGTGTTCTTCCTTGCTATTCTTATTTTTTTGCTTTTTGTTGGTATTCTTATCATCGTGGTAGTGTCCTTCTCAGTATTCCAACCGCCCGCGGGCGGCGAATGCCAGGCTGAGCCCCCGCCGCGCGGAAGCGGCCGTGGAGGCCAGGAGGAAACTGGAGGCGCTCCCAGTCAGTTTAGGGTTTCAGGGGTTTTTGGTTGTTTTTAGTGGTTTTTGTGGTTTCGGTTGTCGGAGTAGAGAGTATTCGATTGTTGAGGTGCAGCGCTCTCGGAGAGCTCAGAGAGATCAAAGGGCTCGGAATATTACCAACACTATTCCGTAGGGAGAGCTCAACGAGGTGAGAAGAAGGGGGGGGCTTTAGCATAAGGTAAATATCGGCCATTCGGGTTTACTAGAGGGGGTCTAAGGATGTTGGATAGATAGGTGCCTTTAGGGTTCAGGGTTTTGGAGTCTAGAGGTGCGTCAGAGAGGTTGGGGGGTTTGGGCTAAGCCGCAAAACGCATTCTGAGAAAGCTCATGCCCCTCGTCTGCTAACGAGGCGCGTGGTGCATTGAGCAGTGTGGAGGTTGAGCGCATGAGGCCCGGGGGTGGACATAAGGCTCGGGCTTGGATTCGGATTCTCGCGATTCTCAACATGATCTCTGAGCCGTCTGAGTCTGGATGCCTCCAGTGCCACTTCATTCGTTGATCGTGGTCTGGCTGATGTGAAGACTTGAGTCGCAGATGACATGCTAACATGAATAGTCGCAATGCCGAAGCAGGCATGAATGATGGAGAGAGTTCAGTATTTTCTCAAGCACAGTTCATCCTCAGCCCTTATAGATGAAACGTGATCATGCTGCCCGACCCTCCCCCCCTTTGGAACGACGCCCAAAGCAGGCTTTTGCAGGGCAACTGCCTGGAAGACCTTTCTGAGGAGGCCGATGCTTTGGCTTTCCGTTGCTAGGTGAGAATGCCTTTGGGACCCGTTGGGATTTGTTTTGGATTCCGGGCCGGACGGCTGTGCCCAAGCTTTTGCGCAACGGGTAACAAGACGCATCAAATTGAGGTGACCGCTTCTTCAAAAATGGCCCGACTGCAGCACTGACTGCAGGCATTGAGTGCATCGCACTTCGTGCTCACGATGCGGCGTGTGCCCGGACAGGAGTTATTTCTTCGATTTTTGCACTCCTCCCGGCTCTCTGGAATGAGATTGACAGATGACAGAAGCATAGGTCCTTAATTAGGCAGCGACGTCTCTTGCAAAACGGGTGCTGTCTGGGTTCGAAGAGTCCCCTTCCCGTGCATCGCTGCTAGTTCCTGGTGTCCAGGGCTTTTGGATCCGAGGATATTGGGGAGAGCGGGCTCCATGATATAGCTACATTATGACATAGGACATATCCCGAAAGCCAAGTCTTGTATGGAGTAATGTGGCTGGCAACAGCTGGGATTTCATTGAAAATGGCCGAAGAGCCCGAGGTTGGGAAGCTCCCTGCTGGCACACGTCAAGTGGCCGACGCTTTGCCTGCACTGTGCTTCTGTTCAAGTATCCCAGTGTCCGAAGATTACAGCTGGTGGACGACAAGCGAGCAAAGTATAGTATAGTATGGTCTACCTACAATCAGGAGCCGCATAAATTCAGATAATCATCCGAACCTGAAGGTGGATGTTCGGATTCGGAGATCTTGCAGATTCTTGGGGATCCGAAGTCGAAAGTGAGGAGCGCTTCCTGGACCTCCTGGCGCGGCGCGGAGATGCAAAGGCCGGGAGGGGGCGTTCTTGGGCTCGGGCCGCGGGCTTTCGGGTGCTTCTTCTTCGGATGGTAGCAAGGCAAAATGTGCAAAGAACAGCACCGCCAGCATCACCAACAGCGGCTGCATCTAGTGGCATCGTTGTGAGAAAATATGAGAGAATTGTAGCGACACAGCAGCAACTGCTGCTCTTGCTGCTTCTGCTGCTGAGGGAGTCCGCCCATCTGTTTGTTTCATGTTTCAACGACGATTGATGTTCTGGAAGCACGCATGACCGCTTGTGACATTCTGATGGGCTTCTGGTGTGGAAAGCACTAAGGACAGACGGTTACACAAGCACACTCAGACTCCCAGCCCCTAAGCCCCAAAGTCTGAAACAAACCCCTCGAGGAAATCCTTTAAGAAAACACATCCCCTTATCAGGAAACCCTATGCCAACGTTGCAGGTCGTCTGGAGCGTCGGCAAGAGGCTGGAACCACGCCCTGGATTGGCGGCTCGGGCTTAGATGGGCTTGGACATCATTCCCACTCTTAGGTTTCAGGGTTCAGGTGTTTCGGTGTTTAGGGGGTTTGGGAGTTCAGCGGTTGAGGCTTTAGGGCTTTCGGGGTTTAGGAGGGCTAGGGCTTTCGGGTTCAGGGCCGCCCTGAAGCCTAAACAAAGAGCCGTAGTATCCTTAAGCAATGTGAGCGTAGAGAACCCTAAAGCCCTGCAAGCCGGGAGCCGATGAACAACTCAGGAGTACGTCCACTCCTGCATGCTGGACGCCGAGTGGACCGACCAAGAGGCCCTCAGTGTCTTCAATGACAGGTTAAAACAGCGTTTAGGGTTTAGGGCCACTAGCTTACATGAGCGGCTCAGGCTTGAGATGGTTCGGTAGAGTGGAGTCGGCAACCGATCGAGGGGTTCTGTCTAGGACCGTACGCATCGGACGCATCATGACAAAATTTACAGGCTCCTGCAAAACTCGGCTGCAAGAGGCTAGGATGGGACCTCGTATCACTCCAAAGCTTCTCGTCTTTGCGGCGACTCACAAGCCTAAGTGAAATTGCGGATGTGGTTTCCCTGCGACTTCCAGAATAAAGGCGGCACGGCATTAGCATTCCTGTACTCTTCGAAGGCTTTGCTCAACCTCCGAAGATCTTTGGAAGCCATGATCCAAAGCCCGAAGCGCACCTGCCAGCCTTGCTATGCAATTACGCAGCAGCTATGAAGATGAGCATCGCTGAGAGAGAGACAGAGAGAGAGAGAGAGAGAGAGAGAGAGAGACTGGGAGCGGCAGCAATTTTTTCGTGCACTGATTTGATTTGAGGAGCTCCAACCCCTCTCTTCTCGGATGACCCTGACACCCAGAACTCCGAAGCTGCGAAGCTCCGAGAGGATGTCCTCATCCACCGCTACTCCCTGGCTTAAGCGGCCGAAGCCGGAAGCCGTCACGCGCTGACGGGCGTCGTCAACACTGGGAGTCTCGTTCTGAGTTCGGCCCGACAAAGCATCGGGCAGATGTGGCAAGGGCTCAGTGGGAAAAGCGCGGCAGTCGATTCAAGCATGGATCTCAGGTCTTCTCTCAATCCTTAATGCAGCAGTTCTGTGATCATGTTTGAAGAGAGACCCCATGCTGAAACGGGCTTAATCCAATATTGATCCCAGTCTGCCGCCAGGTGGCGGTGTCGATGAGCTGGGCGAACGAGACAAAGATTCTCGTGACGCTGGCAGCCCCTGAGCTGGCTTGACTTCCTCTGCTGACGACACATGGATACATATATATATATATATATATGTATGTATGTATGTATGTATGTATGTATGTATGTCACATCGACGTTTGCATCCCGGAACGTTGGCCGTCGGCTTCGTGAGGCATCGTTGCAGAGCGTAGACACCCTAGTTCTCAGAAGCTCCATGGGCAGGGGGAATTCCTCTTGCATGAGTTAACGCTAGCCCCTTTGACCGTGGTGAAAGGAAACGATAGTCAAAGCACAGCTGGGATCCCGAGGCTGCAATGTCAGTAGGGTGAGAGCTTGGAGGCAGTAATGTGCCTTTACGGTAGTCTGTGCTGCGGTGCGGCAGTAGCAGGTTTAGTCTGGTGTGGCACAGAACTCTTTTGAAGCGAGCACCTCAACATTCAGGTAGAATGTGTCAGGTTATGTGACGAAGAATCACACAGCGAGCTCTCCAAGCTCTGAACGCCGTGACCATTCGGCTCAGACCACGAATTCAACCCCCGAAAGCCAAAATCGGTCGCCTATACCCAAAGCAAAGCCCACCCCAAAGTCCCAAGACGTGCACCCAGAAGTCGCAATACCTGGCAAGCAATGTCAATCCTTAGCGCGGCCGATACGGTGCCGCCGGCGGAGCAGCTCCACTCAATCGATTTAGTGCACGGGTCGGGATAATCAGTCACAGTATCTCTCGACAGTCCTTCTGTAATACCAAAGCAAAATGGCCCAGGCCGCGTGATTTCAAGAGATCCTCTCAGCAGTTCCCTGGGGTGTGCTTTCCTGTAAGTTGGTCAGCAGCTTCAGGAATGACCTCGGCACCTACATGGGCCAAGAGAACTGGAGGCACATCATCTCGGGCAGATCACCGCAGGAGCCTAGACGTCCAACAGCGATTCGCCTGCAGCCTCTCGTTCCAAGCGTCGGTTGAGCCCACACGCAGTTGGAGCAGTCCAGGGAAGGCGTCGAGTCTCGGTCAATTTGTCATAACAGAAGTGCCCCTCAGGCTGCGCATCCGCAAAGAGCAGTCTCGGGCGCCAAAGAACGCAGACGCCTGGCAGATTTGCATCTGTGTTATCTCCCAGTAGGATCGGAGGGGCTGTTTGTACCAGTCGAACTTATGCTCCTGGTTATGTCAGAGGCCCGAATCCTGTAGGAGCCCGAGGGATCGCCGCACTTTTGCATGCCATTGACTGGACAGTCTTGAGCTCCCCTGTACGAATGTTCAAATGGGGGTTTCCGAATACAGGGGACCCGAACACAGTGCCCTAAATAGCAGGATCCTCATTATAAGGACCCCCAGATAAAGTACCTCTATGTTCGGAAACTCTCAAATCCAGTTCGGGGTCTGTCGAAGTCTTCTGCCTGAAGGGATCGAGGGCTCAGCTGAAGCTTGCGATCCGTGACATCATGACAGCAGACAAACATTCCGCAACCCTCATCCAAAGATCTCTATGTCCCCAAACCCAAATTCCGTAATAAGGCCTATGTACGGAAGTATAGTCCCCTACCCCCCACCCCCCTGAAGCCCAAACCCTAAACTCTGAAACGCTGAAGGGAAACCCCTCAGCCTTGCAACGGGCCAAGGAGTTCTCCCTACGGCTGGCCGTGCGGGCCCTCGACGTCACGAAGAAGCCGAACCAGGCGCCTTCACCGAAACGCCAACCGGCTTTGGGGTTTTGTGCTACAAGGAGACTGTTCCGGGCAATGTTGTGCGATGCTTTGAGAATGTGTGGTTTCGGCCACCGTGCAGGGATGATAGGTTGAGGTCCATCGTAGGTTTGAGCATGGCTTTGATTACTTCTTCAAGCAAGCTTGCACAGAATCACTAGGAGTACGATTCCTGTTCCCTTAAGGCACACCCGTTATCCCGACGCTTTTGCGCTCCGGAGGTCGATCCTGGAGCCCAGGGTGCGGCAGACGCTCTCCTCGACGAGGAGCACGGACTTGAACCGGTGACGTGGCGGTGGCAGACGAGATCCCATGAAGATCAGGAAGTCACAAAACAGTTTCCATAACCGTTACTTGTAGCATTATTTGGGATGCGTCCTGCTCTTGACCATGTTGTCTCCTTGTTTGCTGATTCCTGAGATGCCTCGATCTGCAGCTACCAAACCATGTCTGGAAGTCCCGCTTCGCCAGGAGACCGCGAGGAACTTCCGAGCCCACCTCGTTGCCAAGCCGCGCGGATTAAATTAGGGGCCGAAATAATTACCGATGCCATTTTGGGGGGTCCTTATTATTGAATTAGTACAGTGGGGCCCAAAACCCTATTCTAATGATAAAGGCCCCCATATTAAATACCTCAAGGAAATTAGGGCTCAGGGCAATTTCTAATCGGGTTTAGGGGTATCTTTGTACTATAGGTACGTCACAAGCCATAAGCCATAAGCCTTAAGCCTTACTAGTTAGAGTATTGTCTTGTCACGGTCTTGTGGTATTTGCAACAATGCAAAAAACTGACCATGAAGGTTCAAATTCCGTAAACATGTTTGAGTTTACCGTAGGCCCGAATGCCTTCTTGTCAGGGGCGATGTTGCTGCAGGCTTTGAACACAGTTGTACCCTAAACCCTAAACCCTTGAACCCTTGAACCCCTAAACCCCTAAACCCCTAAACCCCTAAACCCCAAAACCCCCTATAGAGTGGTAGTCCTGACAGCTCCCCAACTACGGTGCTGAGCCTGAACCTTGTGAATATCCCAGAGGTGACAAGTCCGTATAACACGATACTTGCAAAAGACCCCGCGGGGGTCCCAAGTCTAAGTCTCGTCACGGAGGCTCTGTCTGTGCTGTTGTAGTGATCCTGGACTTTGCATCCCGGACTTCCCTTCAACCTAAGCCCAAAGCCCTAAACCCTAAGCCCTGAAATGTCGAAGGTTTTCTCAGGGTGATTGCCTCTCAAGGTAATCTGCCCGCCCACAGGGGCTTTCCAGACGCGCAGCGCAGACTGAAAAAGGGCCCGTAGAAAAAAAAACCTAAGCCCTAAAGGCCCTAAACCCTAAGCCCTCCGGACCTGCAAAGGACGGGGGCGCCCGGCCACTTCGAGCTCTGGCCGGAGACGTCGCAACACGACGTCGGCTGGCTGGTGCAGGCCGTGCCCTTCCACTGGTGGGTTGGGGGAAGATTAATATAGGGGCTTTCGTAATTACCTATACTATTTTGGCGGTTCCTTATTATAATCATAGCATACTAAGCCCCCAAAGCCCTATTCTAATTATTAAGGCCCCTGTGTTATGGTCCTCCATGCATGCCTTCACCATGGTCCTTTAAGGAATCCCCCTAAACCCTAAACCCTAAACCCTAAACCGAAGCAAAGCCTCCTGGGCAGCGAAATCCTTCAATGTGCCCAGGACAACACGGGCGGGCGGCCCTTTGAGGAGATCTGCTGAGTGTATGTGGGTAGTTGTCAAAATTAGGGCCCCTTTTTGGGTCCTTATTATAGTACGGCACCTAATATTTAGGGTTCCCCGAAAAGGACCATAATTTTGACAACCACCCATGTTCTTCCGTTTGAAAGCAGACTTACGTTATTATGCATGGGTTTTCAAGCCAAAGCCTGCTAACAAGGGCTTGGAGTTCTGCCAGCAAATTTCGCTCAACGTGAGTCCGGGCTGGATGTCGCTTGGTCAGGGCTGCAGGCATTGGCAAGTCCGGATCGCTTGGCGGGACAGGGGCGGGGATATGTTCCGCCTCTGGCCCCAAGCTTCAGTGTCTGCCTATCCATAAAGTAAAAGTATAAAGAGTAGGATAATATATCCCTCATGGACTTGTAGTTTCAGGGTTCAGCTTTTCAGTGTTTTATGAAACAGTGTTATAGTGTTTTCTAAAACAAGTCTTGTAGTGTTTTATAAACCAGTGTTTTGTAACACACTGCAAGCCCAGTTCCAGCGGGTTTAGGGTTCAGGTTTGGGAGACCCAGTCGGGTCCACGCTCATGATGCTCGACGACCCAGACCCCCGGGAGGATCCAAAAAGTAGATCCCTTAATGAGGGTTCCTCTAAAGTACCCTTAGTAGTATAGGCCTAAACCCCAAAACCCTGTAGATCCCTTATAGGAGCCCTTGAAGGGAACCCTCATATAGTTCCCTTAAAGGAGGGGGCTCCCAGGATCGCCAAACCCTGGTGGCTGCCAAGCCCGGGCTGGGCTTCGGCACGAAGCTCAAGCTCCAGTCTTTCTGTGGGATTTTGGGGGGTTTTCAGGGGGTTCCTTTTAGGGGATCTATAAGGGTTCGATAAGGACAAGGATCTATATAGGGGTTTTGGGGTTTAGGGTTCAGGATTTGTTTGGGGTTTAGGGTTCTTGGGGTTCAGGGTTGGGGGTTTATTGGTAATCTAGGCCTGTAGATGAGCCGACAAGATCGTAGCATCACAGAGAAAGAGCGCCAACCAAGTGTTGTCAGGGAGGTGGAGTGGCACTCTCACGAGCAGTCGCAACGTTCAGTCAGTGTGATTCTAGCAGTGATGGCAACAATCCTCCTAAACCCCAAGCAAAGCCCCGAAGCCCCCAGACCCCTAAACCCCTAAACCCGAAACAACGCCCCTGAGCCCCTCAAAAGGCTGCTCGGAGCGCTCTCCTTGAGCTTCAGGTGCCTACCGAGAATCCTACCTACCTACCTACCTACCGTCCTGCTTGGACCTACTGTGAGACTTACATAATGACCTGCTTACCCTACCTGCTGAAGCCAGAAGCCGAGCAAAAACTGAGGGGAGCTTTTTCTGTTTCGCTCCGAGGTGATGACTTGAGAGGTGGCTCTTGTAAGTAGGCCTGATTTTGAGGGAGACTGGTTGCAAGCATATTCAAAACTAGACTACCCCCAAGAGCTTGTAAACGCCTGGGCATAAACTGTGAAACAACCATTGTAGGAGTTAAGGTGCCCGAATCTTGTATGGAAGATTACCAGGAGCTCGGAAGGTACGGTCAACTACGTGATAGCTTGAAGTAGTTTCCATATAACAAGAACCCTGGCAAGGCTGGAGGCACGCTTCGGTGTTGACACCTCCCGGCAGCGCGGGCGGCGGCAAGGTGGCTGTCTTTGCTGGGTCTGAGGTATGAGTTGGAATGTGTAGTGATACTTTTTATTGAATACACTGCATGATGACATTTTGTTTGAATTGGAATGTGTAGTTATATTGTATATTGAATACATTGCTTTGATATCCGTCATAAACCATCGCAAGCCCTTAGCCTTTGCAGCGCGAGCTCAGCAATCGACCTCGGCGCAGGTGCCAGCAGCTGCCCGGCAGCGGACGCCGAGTGCAGGAGGGGTGGGAACTCCTCGGGGCTCGGGTTTGCAGTCCACCGTGGCTCGCCAGGGTCGGTCAGCAAGTTCAGCAACATTTCACACGTCGCATTCTGCGACGACGAAGCCATGCCTCACATGCACGCCACAGCTGTGATTGATCATGCTTTGCTTTCGTAGAATTTTTGGCCAACCACGCTTTAGAGAGATTTGAGGCACGCCAGCGCCATCGCTGTCGGGCAAAAGCTCTGTGCTGCCGCCCAAGGAGGCTTTCACGGATCCGGGCCAATATCGTGCACCACAACAACAAGCACCCCCCCCCCACCACAATACGGATAAAGCATGTCACAGTACTTGCTGAGACCTGTTTTGAATCTGTGCTAAAGCTTAACTGTTTATTGACAACCTTTTTGGAATTGTTGGTCTCTTGCTTCAGATCTCCTCGAAAACTTCTCTTGGAGCCGCTCCCCGCAGAGAAAAGTCACGGCTGAAGCTTTCAGCTGCGGAATCCGAGGGAGTTTCGGATTTACAGGATTAGCGGGTTAGAGCTTTAGGGTTTTAGGGGTTTAGCGGTTTAGGGGTCATCGGGTTTATGGGTTTATAGGGCTCCTAGGGTCTAGGGGGTTCTGAAGCCCTTAAGCCTTAAGCTCTGAAGCTAAGCCCCCAAACGTATGCATTACGCACAGAGCTCTTAAGCCTTGTGTCGCGAGCAGCCTGCAGATCCCGGCGGAGCTTCTTCCCACCCCAGCCGAGCGCGTCGGGGAACTAAGCAGAGGGTTCCCTTGTTCGCCGCTTGCCGAAAGGGCCCAAGCAATAGTATAGTACCTACTCTCGGCGGCCCCAGAGCTACGAAGTACCCACTAAATTGGTACTTGGACCCTTTGGGTTGTGGATGTGCGCAGTTGCCGATGCGGCCTCTGACTTTTCGCTTGGCAGGTTGTTGAGCTTAAGAGTGAGGCAGTGCTCTTTAGGCAGCAGGAAAAAGCTGGGTGTCAGGGCATATTGTGCTAGATTCGAACAAGCTGTGATGCTATGGATTTCCGTGAGGCTTCTCTGAGCTGAATGGAACCCCCAAGCACTGAGGCCTTATCCTAAACCACCCCAACAGCAATCTAAAGCCCTGAACCCTGAAAGCCTTGCATCGCCCCAAACACCAACACCTCGATAGCTTCTACAACACCCTTGCACAACCGCCATAAAACCCTTCTCGCCGTCGTTGAACTTTCCTATCTCAGAACCCTTGCAGAAAACTTTGGAACCTGTTTCAACGCTGTTAGAACCGTTCCTAAATCCTAAACCCCCTTAGAGTCCTTTGGATGAGCCCTTTACTATTATAAAGGAGCCGAAAGGAAGTTCTATATCAGGCCCTGCCCTGGTTTCCCGGCGTGGGCCGACTTCGGCGGCGCCGGCGGCTGCTCCGCCGGCAACTGGCCGAGGACCCGGGCGCCGGTGGCATAGGATTCTTGAGCTTGGGGGTTTCGGAGGTCGGGTTCAGTAAGTTTTGGACTTTGGGTTCAGAGAGTAGAGATCAGCATTCAGAGGCCAATGCGCAAATACGTAGGCTCCGGCTCACGCTCGCATCACCTTCAAGGGTTAAGATCGTTTGTTCGCATGCGAATTCAGGCTTCTCCATCCGATGTTACTGGCACAGAAGTCATTCCAAGTCCTTTCCCGGACAAGTGCCGACCCGTCTCAACCAAGGCAAAGAAGCAAGTCTTCGGTCCTTTTCTGAAGCCAGCCAGAGATTGCTGACTCCATCTATCTATCGATCTATCTACCTATCTATACATACATGTATATAGCCCGACATGTACAACTCACAGATGGCTAGAGGGCCCACTGCTGTATCGGAGAGAAGGCGGCCCCCCCGCAATCTTCGGCCAGGAAGCCACAGCTGCCGCGATGGAGCCCAAAGCAGTGCTGCCGACCAGGCCGCCCCGTCCGTCTGGGATCCAACCCCACATGCGAAGGATGACTTTGGGGGGTTGGGAAAAAAGAACAGAGTTAGGAGTGGCGGGGGGGAGGGGGGGGGATGGGGATGGGGGGCTACGGTGTATTGTGGTAACACTTTTGCACGCTATGGAATAGTGCCCTCAACCTAAACCCCAAACCGGGGTTTATGGTTTAGGTCGTTCTGTTTACTTGGCATTCCTATGGCTATGGCCGCAGCCCGAAAGGGGTTGCTCTTCTCTCGGTCTCATCCTTAGGGTCAGAGAGGCGATCTGAGGATCTTCTTGCTGCTCCTTTGGCCCCTGAGTTCTTGGGCACTTGAAGGATTCAAAAGGAAGAGGGTTTAGGGGTTAGCATTAGCTCCCTATATTCCAGCATCGGAATGAATCGGGCCGCTACATTAGTTGCATGAGGGGTGCGGTGTTTCGGCGACTGGCCGTCGCAAGTCGAGATTTCAAGGAGGGGTGCCCAGCCAGAAACCCCTTCCCACCGTTATCCCAGAGCCCCAGAAGCCTTAAATCCTAAAGCTCCAAAGCAGTCTTTTGTTTCCGACGCTTCTCCGCACCAGCCCGGCGCCATCGACAGCCAGCTCAGCACGTCCAGGGCCGACGCAGGGAGCCCAGTGGCTTCCCAGAGACTCTCAAGGATCCCTTAATTAAAGAATATTCCTTAAATTATGGTAGGATCCCTGTTTTGATTTAAGGTATTTTCCCTAGTTAAGGAATATTGGAGTCTCTGGGGAGGCTATGCAGGGGGCCTGTACTTGAAGGATCATGAGAGCCAGTAGCTAGGGGTACAAACAAGGTGTCTATACTCATCATATCAGCCCCAAGTACTGTACTTGCTAAGTCCCATGATCCTCCAAGTAGTCTTGCGGGCTTCAGGGACAGGTTCTGCGGGAGTTGCCATGCTGGAATGAGAGGAAGCGTCTAGTCCCCTCCCCCCCTCTCTCTCCCCCCCTCTCCCTCTCTCTCTCTCTCTCTCTCTCTCTCTCTCTCTCTCTCTCTCTCTCTCTCTGTCTCTCTCTCACTCTCTCTCTCTCTAACTCGGGCATGGCGGCTTCAACCCAAGAGCTTTCAAAAGACAGGCTGGCAGTCTGCAGGGCTGAAGTCGAAGCTTCCAAGCTCGAAGTTTGAGCCCCACAGCGTCACCCCCTCACACTAAGCCCTCGATTCCTAAGTAGCACGACCAGCCGAGCGGACATAAAAGGAGCTCAAAAAAAATAAGTCCTAAACCCCCCAAAACCCTACTAAACCTTGCAGGGACGGGTTCCGGAACTTCCGGCGAAAGTCGATCCCCGATGCTTGGCTCGGCCCGGGCCCCTTCAGAGCTTCGCATTTTGAACTCTGCCTCGGAAGATGGTGTTTTTGGGGAGTTCTACACAGGGGTGGTTGTCAAACTTAGGGTCCCTTTTTGGGTCCTTATTACAAAAAGGTTAAAAGGCACCTAATATTTCGGGCACCCAAAAAGGGACCCTAATTTGGACAACTACCCACATGAACAGGAGCCCTAATTGTCGAAATGTAGAACGCTTAGTTCCCTTTACAGGAATCCTCTTATTACTTATAGGGGTCTAAGTAGTTACTTGCAGTCCTTTTTGGGGGTTACTTATTCTGGTTTTGGCTAGTTCTATACATGGCTCGGGCTTGGGGTGGTTTCTATGGAAATAGAGACCTTAACCGTGGACGCCGACGACCTGCATTCAGGGCTGGGGCAGCTTCTCATGCCCTTCGAACCGAGGCCCCTCGTGTGAGCCTCCCAAGCCAACTGCGGATGCTCACGAGGCACTGCATGCTCCACAGGTTCACGGGGCTTCCGGCTTTGTTGTTTTAGGGTTCATGCTTTAGGACGCTAGGGGCTTCAAGGTTTAGTGTTTCGGAGATTTGCAGCTCTTGGGGTTCTCCATCGCAGCCGAGGGTATCATGGACCCTCACATAACTAGGGAATGTTGAAGTCTCCCTCAAACCCCAGACCCCTAAACCTACATTACCCCAAGCCCAAAAGCCCTAAACCCGAAGCCCAAAGGCCCACATTACCAGCCCTAAAGCCCCCCAAAAAGTCCCTCAACCCTACATTTCCCCCCCACGCAAACCCCAGCCTCCGGCCTCCGCGTGTGCCAGACCATCGAGGGGCAGTCCCAGCGGGCCCGGGAGTTCTTGCGCTACGGGAAGCAGAGCCGCTGGGAGAGGCGCTCGCACCACCGGGTTCAAAGGGGTGCGAAAAGGGGGCTTTGAATACTCAGTTATACGACCCGCTGGTTTTTGATCCCCCATCACGTTTCTGTCAATTTTAACCCCAAGCCGTATTCCAATTATATAGTTCATTCGGAGCCAGGTTTACTTTCGAATCCAGGAAAGACTCCACCAGTCAAGACACGTTCAGGATTGTTTGGCTGACGGATTTGAACGTACCGCAAACGACCCTTACAGAAACCTACAAGACCCATAAAGCACCCATACGGTTGATGATATAAATCCTGCATTACCCATAATGAGGAATATAAACCATAATTCCCTCTTATGAGTAGTGCAGGATATATATCATCAACCGTAGCACAAGGTATCTGAGTCTCACGGACTTCAACCCTTAGCCTGAACCCTTAGGTATGCGGCTATGCTATTCTCGAATAAGATGAGTCTACCGCGATATATACACCAAATATTTCAGTTAATACCCCCATACTAAACCCTTATAGTGGCCCTTCTTAGGGGCCTCTTTAAATAGGAGCCCTTGCAGGAGCGCGGCAGTGACTTATCCGTGTAGATCTCCGAATCATAGCCCTGTTTACTGAGTCCCCTGATTCTTGAGGTGACCCTAGAACCCCGTATCGTGCGCTGTAACACCCTAGGTACTATGTCTCTTGATGCTTGAAGCAGCCCCAAACGCCCAAGCCCTAAATTCTGATAAATACCCTCATGGAAGGACGAAGGAGGTCTCGAACATGTCGAAGTTCGCCAAGGCAAGTCGCAGCATGGCCAAAGGGCGACAAGCGGAAGTTCGACAAGCGTCACCAGAAGGGTTACTGTCAACAAGGGCTTCATATATGGGTGGTTGTCAAAATTAGGGTCCCTTTTTTTGGGCACCCTAAATATTAGGTGCCGTATGATGTTAGGGACCCAAATGGGGACCATAATTTTGACAACCAGCCATATAGGAGGCGGAAGACTGAGTACTGCTATTACTTAGAGCTCCCAAAAATGAGTGTACTGTGATTTTCACCAAAGGCCTTGCAAAACTTCAGCTTTTTGGAGGATTTAGGCTCTAGGGCTTTTCAGGGTCATTCAGGGGTGACAGGCAGGGGGTCACACGAGAGAGGGGGAGTTCAAGTTAAGGCGGGGGGGTCCAGGCGAAGAGGGAGGGCCGTTTTCGGTTGCTGAAGCGGCCAACAAGAAAGTTGTCCGTCTGTCTGTGTCATTGCAGGCAACGAACCTCTTACGTTACTTTTTTCGCGCTTACAGCATAGCTAAGATTGGGACTAGGATGTAAGGTTTGGACCGTTTTAATTTTCACCCGGTCCTCATCCATCCCTTCATGCGGCCAGGGCTACAAAATGCTCGGCACTCGGACGAACATGCCATGCAGGCTTAGAGCGTGTGGTGCTTGGCCATCAGGGGCCAGAATCTTTGGGGCGTCACCAACCACATGATACTTGAGAGGGTGAACTCCTTCCACACTCGCCTAGAAACCTCCGCTTTTGAAGGTCATGTAATTCGCCTTCGGTGTTAGCTATTGTAAGCACGGAGAGATGTTTGCAGCTGCCTTGGAGTCGAGAGAACTGATGCAACCTTGAAATCATATTGTGACAAGACCAGAAGTGTGTACGAGTCTGAAGAATCATTCACTAAAGCCTAAAGGAGGAAAGAGCTGTATGGTGTATTTTGCCCGATATGAGTCATTAGCCATGTCTCTGTATAGTCCCAAATAAAAAAGTGGTATGGTATACGGTACCACTACCTCTGAAAGGAATTATTGATCATGTCCTCGTAAAGTCCACAAGAAAGGGTTGCATGGGATGCGGTTTCCAAAGTTCCCAACAGAGCAAACGAGGCTCTGGGGTGTGAACTTCTTCGCCAAGCGCGGGACCGGAAAGGGATGTGGGGTTTCCGAAAATAGGGGGGTACCCTTATTTAGGGGTCCTTATGATAAGAGTCCTAGTATTTAGGGTACTATATTAGGGTCCCCTATTTTCGGAAACCCCCATGCGGGGTTGTAGGATGTTTTTGGGTTTGGGGTTTGGGCTTTTCTCGGGGTTAGGAGATCAGGTTTTTGTAATGTCTAGGTTAGAAGGGGCCCCCACCCTGTAATAGTGGTATAATAGGAATATAATAGGGCCCGAATACAATCCTTATAGTCACTATTACAGGGTGGGGGCCCCTTCTAATGTCTACGGTCTAGGGTTCGAGCAACGTAAGGGTTTGAAACATTCCCTGAATCATCACAGTCTACAGCTTCCCAGAACTCTAGGTTTCATTCTACAAGCATCGATTGTAAGCAGGTACTATGCGCTACCATAGCATACTTGATTTGTAGGGTCCCAGTAAAAGAAGCTTAATCGGGCCTGACAAAAGCAGGTTGCGGCAAGCCAAGATCGAGGCCCGAAAAAATTGACAATGAGCACAGGGGGGGGAAGTGTAAATATACCGGGAAAGCATATTCACCATTGAGGCATCTCTTGCCTACATACTCCGTACGAGGGGGCAGGAGCACAAGGACGGAGTGCCCCGCCTTGAACACAGGTGCTTGGAAACGCTCGCCAGGAGCAAGCGCAGCATGGAAGTCGTGGCCTGAACTTCGAAGATCGGCTGAGTGCGGTCCGCGGCCTTAAACCTTAAACCCTAAAACCCTCAGCCTTAATTTTTTAAGCATGCAAAAGCCTTTGGGTCCAGGCCTTAAGGGTAAAACCCCAAAAGCCCCAAAAGCCCTAAACCCCAAACCCAAAGCTACAAAGCGACTTGCTTCGGCCGCACCGTGCCGCGATAACGATGCCAGCACCCTCGGATCTCTTGCGCTTGTCAAAGTAGGTCTAGAGGATCTTCGAGTTTGGGGTACAGGGAGTTTTGGGTTTAGATGATCTTCTAGGCTTTTCGGGCATCTTGCATACAGCCGAAGGGCAGAGGGGGGGATCTTTTGCAGACTTGGGGTGTAGCATTGGGGTCTGAAGGATAGTAGTATCCGCGTTGAGCCTCTACATACTTATTTGTGCTGTACTACATCCCAAAGCCAAAAACTCACAATGACTACCTACACTCGTGTTCGTGGTTCATGGTTGTGGCTCAAATTTCGCTTGCCACTGTTATGCTGGCGATGGGCAATAACATTTTTGAAAGCAATATCATCGCATACTCATACTTACTGATAGTGTTACAATGGGTAATACGCCTATGATGACCATGATAATGATTAAACCAGGTTCTAGTGGTATTAGCCTGGTCACTGCCGATGCCAAAGTGAGCCTGGTGAGATATTCATGTAGCAAGGGTTGCTGATGCAACTCAGGGTTTCGGGTCTTGGGCTTTAGAGTTTGGGGGGGGTCGTTTTTGAGTTAAGGGTTTTTGAGTTTAAGAGTTCAGAACCAAGGAGAAGGAGATCTGCTGTGCTGCTAGGATTAGCTACTTGCAGCCGTAACACGCGGCTGGTAGAGGTCAGTGCCGAAAGAACCTGTCCCGCAGATAGGAAGCTAGGTGAGGTCATGCGCGCATATGCCTGAGCCAGCGCAACCCAAACGTGCGAAGCCGCGCGATGCTCGATGCCCATCGAGGGCTGCATGAAGCCATCACCGACATGCCGAGTCATCATGCCTCCGCTGCAGTTTGGGACAGGGGATTTGGTGCTGCCCATTCCGTACCTGCGAACTCTCACACCTGAAGGTGATGTTCCTGCAGCGTGAAATTGTGCGTGGACTTGACTTGACTTGAGGTCTTTGGGCCGGCAGCCTTGGCCACTTAAAGGATCAGGGGCCTTAGTATAGCTGTAAGTACCTTGGCGGGGTCTATAATCCAGGGTCATCAGTGTAGCGATCCCTTGTTTGAGCCTTACTTACTCTGTCCGACCCTTGAAGCACAGATCCTTTCTCAGAGCTGCAGGCTTGCTCATTCCCGGTCGGGATCATGGACCCCAGAGATGCGCTATGCTTAAGTAAAGCGTCGATAACTTGGAGCGCGATAAACCTACTCAGAGCTCTGGCCGAGATCCGTGGTTGCTCTCGGCCATGCACTCTGATGGACCAAGAGAGCCTCTCAGCCTACATCCTTCGCATCTTTTCTGACAGCGACGTTGGCGCCGTTGCTTTGGATTTTGCTTTCTTTCCAAGCCACGTTCGTTTGTGAGGGGCAAGCCATCTGGACAGTAACCTCCGCTGCTGTTTCAACTCAAGGCTGTGCATGTGTATTCATGAAGATGAAATGAGCGCTGTTCCGAGCTCCGGGTATGTAGGGGCTTAAAAAAAATCCGAATGCCCATTGCGTAGGGTTCCGTAGCACGAGTATTTTTTCGGCTCCTACAGATTACATCACAACACGCAAGGACGTAGCCAGGCGCAAGGGCTCCGCACCCGAACACAAACCACCCAGACCACCCTCACGAAGACCCAACCCCGACCCCGTGCCACAACCTACCACGCACCCAAGCATACATCACAGCTCGAAGCCCCGGAGCCTCTGATCGCAGTCGAGCTCGACGCCCTTGAACTGAGAAAGAAGCGACTCCTGCAAACGTCAACAGCTTATCTGCGCCATGGGCCAGTCCTGCGCACCATGTGCGACAACTCGCGTGCCCCGAACTCTTTAAATCGAAGTTTCGGGTTTAGGGTTTGCGCGGTTTCCAGAGTTTCTTTGTCGCACTGACTGTTTCTTGCTCCTCGTTGCTACTAACACAAACTACCAGGAAACAGCGACAAGCATCAAGCACAAAAGACTTCGCGCCTGCAACCCTGAACCCTTTGCCCAACACCGAAATCGACAATCGTAAACCCCCCCAGCATGCGGCATAACCCAAACAGAAACCCTTACACAACCGGTGCATGTTCCTACACCCACGCCAAACTCAGAAGCAAGTCAAAGGCTAAATGCCGTACAGCCGGCCGAAGCTCTTTCGGAACTCGGAGCCCGAAACCCCCAGGCCAAAAGCGCTGAAATGCCAAGACTTGCCCAAACCCCTCATACAGTAGAACCTTGTCAGAAACAGAGACCCTTTACCGACATTTTGCGTCAGAAAGTTTTCAAGACCAACTAGCTAGCCCTAAACCCCAAACCCTAAACCCTACGGAAAAGAGCCCCTCAACAAAAAAAAACAAACCCTAAACCGGCTCCCCTCCCGCCCCTCCGACGTCGCCGCCGCGTCGCCAGGTTCCCGAGCCGGGGCCTCCGCGCCCGAGCCAAGTGCCAAGGGGAGCCAGGCAGCGGGCTGGAGCTTTCCCTTTGGTTCTTGCAGGCTTTAAGGGTTTAGGGTTCAGGGTTTAGATTTTAGGGTTTGGGTTTGGTTTGGGGTTTAGGGTTGAAGATTTAAGGGTTTGCTTTAGGGTTTAGTAGATTTTATTAGGGTTGTTTGTAGACAGGGCAATACTAATATTTGCTTTTCCAGCCGAAGCTTTGCTGTTTCTTTGTTCCTTGTCTGAAAGTCAGTCAATTATCACCATGTAGGGTTTAGGGTTCAGGGTTTAGGGTCTGGTTTAGGGTTTATATAAGGGTTTAGGGATATTGTAAGCAGTATTCTGCTGTGATGGCCAACATCAGTATTAAGACTGACAGGACCATAACAACAACTTATGGCAATTATATATACACATAAACAGTACTATTATTCGAAGGTAGCCGGGCAGTGTTTTTCAATTTTTTGTAATAGTAACGCTATATGCTTTGCCAGCTGAAGCTTTGCCTTTTCTCTTTATTTGACAGTCCGTTACCATCACGGTCACTATTGTTGAGGTTGTTATAGCGTGCAACTATTGTTGTTGTTATGGTCAATCTGTTCAATTTTGGTTCTTACCATCATGTTTACCCTTAGCATTAATTTGCTATGACTAAGAACAGCAGCAATGCTGGCAATAACAAGATCAACAATAGTATCAAAGGCTCTCCAGTAGCAACAACCATGACAACAACACTTGCATAAACATGACTACTGTCTCTCCAGGACCAAGTTTTGATGTTGTTGGTATTTCCAGCGAAGGGGGAGTTTTTCTCTAGGGTTTGCTGTTTTGGGAGGCTTTCGGTTTACGAGATTTTCAAGTCTGGGATGGTAGGAATGTTGGGCCTAAAGGCGTTGCAGTGTTCTTTGGGCTCAGGGTTGGAGTTTGGCATGTGAGGAGTCGGGAATGCAGCGATGTCTTGATAGCGGGTTTTCTTCAAAGACTGCAAAGAGTACCATGCGGTCCGGTGTAGAAGTTTCAGGTTTCTAGGGCCCAGGGTTTAGTTTGGGGTTTGGTACAGGAAAGAGCCGCTCCAATCTAAGGAGTGTTGAGGAGTGTTGGGGATCTGTAGGGGGGCGTCAGACCCGGCCTGGACAGCATGAAAGGTAAGGGTGCGAAGGCCTTGCAGTGGAGTCGTAGACGCCATGGGGAGGAGATAAACTGCGGAATAACTTTGGAAGCAATCGACGAAGCCTCACGAACCCTTTCTCCATTCCTACTGTCGGTCTTCGGACGGAATGTGTGCGTATGACTTTATGGAAGCACGAGAATGAAAATGAATGTCGCCGAGAGGTTCGACGGCGAGCCATGGGTGGCTTTCCACTCCAACGCGTTCCAGGCCCTCAGAAGGGCTTGAAGTTAACGAGGCCGAAAATAGCCTCCTACGCCCTTGGAGCGCCTTGAGCTCCTGCCGATCATCTTCCAAGGTTTCGCGGGTGGGCCGTTACTCCGTTTGGTGGTTGAATTTCTCAGTGCAGGATCGGCTGCGGCGGGTGTGGATGTGGTCTGCTGCGTTTGGTGTTGTGCGCAGACTTCTCCCAGAAGTTCTTCTTGAAATGTACAATTTCTCTTCCCCATGCACAGCCTTCAGGTCGTACATATGCAATGATTCATTGGGGTCTTGAGGGAGTAGATTGATGGATTGCCCCGGCCAGATATAGCGCTTTTGCTGTTAGCATGTCCTGGTCAAGACACAGGCTTGTAAAGGCGTCTTTAGAGCTCATGTTCAGCTTCAGAGCACCCTGGCACCGTATTGGATGAAGCAGCATAGCAGCCCTCAAGGAAAGCCTTGCAACGTCCGCACAAAGCCCCTGGCACACCCCCCACTTTTGTAGAAGTCAAGTCCCCTACTGCTTCTTTTCGTGGCTTCGAGGTGGCCTCCAGTGTTCAGACGCTCAGAGCCCCGCGCGCTGCAGAGTCCCAGCGGGTGGGCGGGGGTTCTGGGATACGTCCTCGGGTCTTGCAGGGTTTCGGTTTTTTTTTCAGTTCGGGCTTTGCGAAGCAAGAGTTATAAGGGCCTGGGGTTTAGCGTTTTCGGTCTGTTCAATGGATCCGTTGGCATACTTAGTGAGTAGGGTTATAGTTGAGATAGCTGCGCTTATCAATACTTCTGACCCCACTGTCATACCTACAGCTACCCATGAACTTTCGAGCAGCGCTAAGTAGGGTTTACGGCCTGGCTTAGGATGTCCTCGATGACAGCTTGAGAGGTTTAGGGGGTCATCTTGCATACAGTTTAGTGTTTTCAAGCTACACTTCTCTAAAAGGGTTTCTGTGAAGAGTTTCCGGTGCCTTGATGCCTTCAAGTTCGAACTCTGCGAAGACCTAGCCCTTGAGCCCTAAAGCCTTCAATGCCGCTGGCTCGTGAGTCCTCAGACCTACT